TAGTTGTGACTTGCAGGCTCTACAGAGCAGGCTCAGAAGCTGTGGCGCATAGGCTTAATTGCTCTGCAGTATGTGGGATCTTCCCAGACCAGGACCAGGGATTAGATTCATGTCCCCCTGCCTTAGCAGGCAGACACTGTGCCACCAGGGGAGTCCATGACTGATTTTTCAAAATTCAGTTTAATCCTTCCCCGAGGTCTCCCTATGCAGAGGAAGGTGCTGGGCATAAAACTCAAACTTGTGACCAGACTATGAGTCAACTGGATGGAAAGAGGCCTAAGGGGACAGTAGGATTCTCATGCTCTTTCCCCCAGTGCCATAAACCCTAAGACTGCCTCTTAGCTCAGAGCCAGAGGCAATCAGATTGTCTTCTGAAGTGATGTCTCAATCCAGGTCTCTTTGCCACCTGCTTTGTCAGCTGACTCTGAGGAACTAGCTTCTAGCTGAGGGGTTGGGAAAATAAACTTCTCTAGTTGATGTATGTGAATCTTCCAAGTCCACTTTAAATGCACCTGCTAACACTAAACAGGTAGTGCTTTGCCCTCCAGAAACCCCTTTCTGAGCTTGCTTGCAGTGTTTCAGAGGGACAGAGGGGACCCCTGAACACAGCCTCTGCTTAAGCTCAACTCTGGCTCTGGCTGCAGCTCCCTTCCCCTGATCTGGCATCCAGAGCCAGGGCCTCGGCAGCCCTGGGTTCCAGCTTAGCGGAAGGGCATGCCTCATAGAGCCAATGCTTGCCACTCTGTTTCTAGTTGAGCCTGTCTGAGCTTGAGGAATCCATTCCAATCCTGTAAAAGACTTAAAGCTCAGGGGCCTTGATTGGCAAAAGCCTTAACTGCTTTCCCATCACCACCACCCTTTTGTTTTAACCTTCTCTAATACAGACTCCAGCCCCACAAACGTGCAGGGGCCGGCGTGTCAGGCCTTTCTTCCTTTGTTTAGAACCTACTTTCTGGTGCTCGAAGTGTGACAGTCAGGGTGGGAGGTGAGAATGGATTGGGGGAGGAAGGGAAGTTGTTTCAAGGAAGCACTAGATCAAGAAAATTAAATATGCTGAAAGGCTTATCTTAGGTTTATGCCTTATTCTAAAACTTTTTCCCTAAGAATTTTGAACTGGAAAAGGTGCGAAATGACTCCAATTCAAGCAAGGCAGTCAAAATTTTCAAACACGGCGTAATATGGTCCACTCTGGGTAGTATAGGAAAAAGTGTTATCTTTGCTGTTTTTAAACTTGAACCACTCAAGCTGTTGGTATGAGAGGAAAACAATATACATATAAAAGCAAGTTGACTTTCTTCTCACATCCGGCATAAGCCTTGAGCCAACAAGTCCAGTTAAACTTTTTGTTCACAGTAGCTTATTTTTTTTTTAGTAGGTTATGTTATTTTTGTAAATATTTGGCTGTGCCAGAACTTAGTTGCAGCATATGGGAACCATTTCCCAACCAGGGATCAAAGACAGGTCCCCTGCATTGGAAAGGCAGTCTTAGCCTCTGGATTACCAAGGAAGACCCAACAGAAGCATATTTAAATGGATGTGAATAATATTCTACACAATTTCATAATGTATATGTATATATACTAGAATATATATATGTATATACACTAGAATATATTTGCCTTTCATGCAGTTATGTTTTGACGATTTCTATGATCCATTAAAAGTTCATTAGGATAATAATAAATACTGTGTATTTTTGTAGGCTCTTAATTTCATAAAGGACAAAGTATTGATATTGAAAGTCCATTAAAAAACAAACCTTCTCTTCTTGGTCAAATTTAGCAGTGGTTTGTGATTTTTAACTTCTTCCATTTTAAAACCTCTGTGAATCCTTTCCTGGCCTCATCTTTGGGTGGGGGAGAGGAGAAATGGGTAAAAATATAAATGAAAGGAAGAAGAGATCAGAAGCTAGATAATTGAAAACTGACTTGGTCTAAGTTCCCCTCCACCCGCTTCCTTTATTGATTTGGGTAATAACACCTCTACTTTGGGTTATGTTCAATACCAAGAAAATAAATAGCATTTAAGTTATAAGAAGGAATCAAACTTCATGAAATTGTATATACCTTGATATTAATATCCTATAAAAAATACAAGTTTTGTATTAAAAAAATAATAATCTGCTTTTCTCATCTATCAATATCCAAATTTAAGTAAAACTTAGGACAGGCAACTTACCATCTTTACTGAAATGGATACATATTCTCCAATTAATGTATGTTGTGTTCTAAAGTTCAAGAACAAATGGAAATTAAAATGCATTTCCCACAAAAATGATATAAATGGTGAAATCAAGAGTTCCAGATAGTTGACAACTACAACAAAAAAGTCTTTGAGTTAGATTTCAATAATACTATGTGATATTCTTTTATGAAGAAGATTCAAAGACTAAAAAGCTGCACAGGAAACAAAAACTTGTACTGTTTGTTGCTGTTCAGTAGCTAAATTGTATCCAACTCTTTATAACCCCATGGACTGCAGCAGGCCAGGCTTCCCTGTCCTTCACTACCTCTGAAGGTTGCTGATTAAAACAAAATACTTTAAGACGTCACATCTGCAGAAAATGTGGCGATCTTTACATTAAGATTGGTTGAAATGCTAAGGTAGGTCTTCCTGATGGAGGGGGGTCAAGGTGTTATTGGACAGAAGGTACAAAAGATGCCCACCAAACTGAGAAAGTATCTAGAGACCAAAAAATGAGGCAGGATACTTCATACAACCAAGCAATCAGATTATAGGGTAGTTTACTTAGAGGGTAGGATGGGATGGATGACATCCGGAAACATTCGCAGCTGCCACTGGAGATTTTTATAGTTAACCTAGGGTATAAGGGTACGTGCTTGGAAAACAGGAAGTGCGTTCCAAAGTCAAGATTTATGAATGGATAACTAGTCTCTTGGGTACTGGGAATACGTCAGCAAAGGTCTTCATTATTGTTTGGAGCCTAACAATAATAGAGTGCAGAGGCCACCTGGACCTAATGATCACTAAATAGTATCTATTCACTACAAAGCCCTTGACAACAGGGATTTACTACACAGTACAGTCCTTGGTAGGGTCAGTTGAAGGACAGGAGGCACTGAACAGGCCCAAGATGGCATCAGTTATACTAACAGCCATTCAATATGGCAGAGGGTCCCTCTTGTAAGTGACCGGTGAAAAGGGCCCATTGCTTTCCCTCCTGAATCACTATCTTCATCAGTGTTAGTTGGACCTGTCAGGGGTCAAGCACTGGGCAAGGACTATGTGCTTATCATTACTGATGCTCCTTTCATGACTCTCTTCCTCCCCAACTACTGTCCACCTACTTGCAGATAGCAGGACATGAATCATTTTAATTTAACCCTCTCTCCCCATTTAGACATAATCTGCCTACTTCAGGTCTACATCCCCTGGAGAAGGGAAAGGCTACCCACTCCAGTATTCTGACCTGGAGAATTCCAAGGACTGTATAGTCCATGGGGTTGCAGAGTCAGACACAACTGAGTGACTTTCACTTTTTTTCAGGTCTAAAATTATGTAGTCTTGGTTAAATTTATAATCAAGGACTTCCCTGATGGCGCAGTGGATAAGAATTCACCTGCCAACGTAGGGGACACAGGTTTGATCCCTGGTCTGGGAAGATTCCACAGGCCTTGGAGCAACCAAGCTCATGTGCCACAACTACTAAGCCCGAGTGCTGCAACTACTGAAGCCTGTGTGCCTAGAAACTATGTTCTGCAACGAGAAGCCAAAAAAAAAAAAAAAAAGAAAGAAAGAAAGAAAAACAATGTATATAATCAAGCAACAAGTGCACTTAAGTGATACTAGTGCCCTCCTTTTTAAGAGCAGAGTATCAGCCATCTGGAAAGGGATGGGGAGAGGGAAGGCTGAGCAATGGGTTTACAAACGAAAAAGGATAAAGGAAGTAAAATTGAAGTTCCAGCTTCTGCTTAGTGTCAGCAAACTCACACAAATGCATGCACACACACAGACATGGAGGAGCTCTGACATGGAATTGAAAACAAAAGCATTTCCCCTTCACGTAACACACCATGGTTTGTGTATGTCTGATCTTGTACGGCGTAACTGGCTTGTGTAAAGGAGCCTCTTGGCCAGGGACTCAATCAAGGAATTTATATTTAGGGAAAACAAGTTTGCAATACTAGGAATAGGAAGTAGAAAGCCTTTTGCCATTTTTCTAGGCACAGGGCCAGTCTTCAAGAAAATTTCGAAATAAGCTGTTTGGCTTTGACTTACTCCTACTCAGTATGTAAACACCCAGGGCCTTCGTGTGCCCTTTACCTAGGGCTACCAGCACCCTCAAATGTCCTGTGCCTTAACTTACCATTCCTATTTTCTCACTTTGACCCTTAGCAAAACTTCTTTTCTCTCTGAGAAGATGGATAAGGCTCCATTTAGTAGCAGAATCTCTTGAAATTAAAATAATCAATAGTAAGGTAATATGTCAGGTAGTGGACAGCTCAGAGATTTATGTTCTAAGACATAAAACTTAAAATCTCAAAATGAATCTCTGGTAGAATTTTAGGCAGAACAACAGGAAAGTCAGGTTGTAGGTATATGCTGGGAGATGGGGTCAAGTTTCCAGGCAGCTCACACTGAGCATGTATACAGTTACTTTGGAACATTTACACTTTCCATGACTTCCTCCCTTTATCTAAGGCTTAGCTCAAAATTCTGTAAAATACCACTGGTTGTTCTGGAGATCCTTCCTCACTTATCCACCCAATGAGACAGGGCACATTGTAGGGGGTGGGCGGAGGGTAATGTCACATCACAGAAAGAAAACAGCATACCTGGGCATAATATCTCCAGTAAGAGTGTAACTTTCAACCTAATACTAGTATGTTACTGCTCATAATGTATATAATATATATAGTTTAGGTAAATTATCAAGTTATAAAAATATACAATAAAATTTTATAAGAAACTCTGAAACAATGGATGCTTCATAATTCTCTTAAGACTACAATAAAAATGCAGCTATTGGCTAAATTCCATCAATTCTTTTTAATTCTCTTTGATTTGTTCTCCTCATCTTCTGCTTTCCTTTCTGCAGGTCGCTTCTTCAGCCCCTTCATTTTCCTGGTTTGTAGTTTGCTTAGGTCTTGCTTTTGCATATGAATTCTTCCGTAAGTTGTACCAAAAGTATCATGAGAGACATTTTTCTTCTTCTTTGGCTATGAAACAGTAATATATAAAAATACAGTTGAGTCTATTATTATGAACTGATAAAAATCTAGTGTATAACAACTAACATTTAACAACTTCCATTAGTGAGCACCCTTTCAATGATACGGAATCTATAGCCCTATAGGTTCTTTCTTCTCAAACTTAGGTACATGCAGATCACTTGGAGATCTTGTTAAAAATGCAAATTATAATTCAGTAGAACTAGGGCAGAATCTCAGATCCTGCATTTCTACAGTCCCCAGGGCAGTTACCAGGTCAGACTGAGAAGCAACCCAAGAGACCACTCTAGCCACTGCCACGCACCGAGAAGGCCTATGTCCAGCTGAGGGATCGGGACTACCATCTCAAATCTTTACTGGCATTCCAGAGATGCCATTTCTACTTGCCTTTTAAAGCCGTTCAAACGTCAAAACACGTTTTATGGAAGTATGGGTTATACATCCTATGCTTGAAATTACATTTTCACAATGCCCAAAATGAGACCTATTTTTGCTGAAAACTGGCAGTCTTGGCTACCAGGAAGCACTCGGCAATATTTGATGCTTGGTTTCTACAATTTTATTATCCTTTATGATTGGCTTATTTGGTTCTTCCTTCTTTCTTTGGCTCTGAAAGTCTAATTTTATCTATTATATTGATCTGTTTATATATGTCCTTTAATATAATATGCTACAGATCCCTTTTGGAAATAAGAGAGGAATATACAAATAAACATAGCACCAATCTGCAAGTCATGTACCTTCAGGGCTTTGGGCATTTTCATAGATAATTTATAAAGGTCATCTGATGCTAGGTGTGTCCGCCTCAGAACCAAATCCAATGAGGGTCCCATCTCTTCCAATTCAATCCGCGGTGTTCTACAGCCAGATTTCTTCAACAGCAACCTTTATAAAATAGCAAAAAGAAATGTTGCTTTGAATTTGATAATCAAAGTCCCACTCCTCCAAATATTTTTGTTCTAGAGAATTATAGTTCCATAAAATAACAAAATGTTTGGAAAGCCTAATTTTAATACTTTATATACAGATAGTTCTCCTAAGAAGTGGAATCTTTTATTTGATTTCTTTATTTAAGGTTTACATAATTATATAAAAAATTTTAAGTGGATCTTTAAGATATTATATTTACATAATTAACAAATTCTTATTTCTCTAAGACCCATTCAGAATCAACTTTTCTCCAAAGCACAGACACCAATCTCTATAGATTGGAATGAATGTAACAAAACCATGACTTTCTGGATACCATATGTATAAATAACCTTGGATCCAAAAGCTTATGAGGAATACAGTGGGGGGAAGAAGGGAGATTCATTTAATTCTTTTTTTGGGAGTGATATCACAAGAACTGCTTAAAGACTTAAAGGTTATTGGTGCTGTAAGACTCAAATTTGTTACGGTGACCAGATCTCCACACAGAAAAGGACTAAATAATAATGTTCAGAAAAGATGAGCTTTTTCACATAAAAGTCAGAATGAGAAAGAAGTAACAAGTGACATAGAGAAAAGAAAGAACAGAAGAGAAAAGCAGAGTAAGTAATACCCAGGAATGAGCAAACACCAGGAAGCAGGAGTGAAATATGTAAAACCCTATTAAAAGCCCTGCAAAACATGAAGACAAACAACCAATACAGTCCACTTACAGGAAGTGCTTTTACTGGCTTCTGGAAGAGTCACAGTGACAGGTACGCTGTATCAGACACAGTAGTTCACACTCAACTAAGCAAGGCAAAAAGGAAAAACAAAACAAAAAACCCCAGAGCCTAGGATATGTAAAGAGCAGAAATGTTAAACAAACAAAAACATACAAACGTTAAAAGATAAAATTAATGTTAGTATGGGGCTTGAAGGGAGAAAGCAGAGGGAAAAAAAGAGCTTAAATAAGGGCCCTTAAGCCACTCTCCTCACGGGGGTTCTGGGAGATGAGACCTGAGAGAAGGCCTGTCTCTGGACTACTGTAGGGGAAAACATTTTTAGGAGCTGAAGATGGCTGACATCATGCCATTGTCCTTAATATTTCACTCAAAGCATACAGGGGCAGTGACCATGTGACTCTTTTATATCACAGGTTTTTATCTTTTATTCTGCAATTGCCTCTACATCTTTCATATCTCAAATAAATTGTATTTATCATGCTGAACTCATATCAAGATTAAATCTTTGGAATTCCCTGGTGGACCAGTGGTTAGCACTCCTCACTTCCACCGCAGGGAGCATGAGTTCACTCTCTGGTTGGGGAACTAAGATCCGAGGCGTGCCGAGCGGAACAGCCAACAACAAAAGAAATGAAAAAAAAAAAAAAAAGACTAAACCTTGATTAATATCTTGTGTTCAGTAGATTAATTTAAGAAATCAAGAAGGGAGGTAAGGTGAAGGCCCACTGGTGAGGAACACTGGCTGAGATGCAAGATGCCTTCCTGCCTTGGAGGACAGTCAACTGTAGAAGCTGGAGAGAGGAGGAAAGCTGGGAGGAAGACCGCAGGCTAGCTCCAAGGACTCTTTCTGGCCTTTCTACAGGTGGTGTTACAAGAAGCAAGTGTTGGACCTGGAGAAGGAGGGTCTATGGCCGGAACTCCTGGATAGTGGAAAGATTGAGATTTGTGTCTCTGCCTGGTGGGTAGACCAAGAAGCCTTGGTCTGTCTGTATGAGCTAACTGTCCAACTTCTAGATGCCAAGCAGGCCAAGCTACATCATTTCTCTCCTAGTCCAATCCATCAAGGTAGAACCAGTATCCCTTTTAAGACCAACCACATGTTCTCCAACCTCAAGAAGGGCGTCCGCTTTGTGTCTCTGGAACACTGGATTTGGGACATGGGGTTCCTGCCTGAGGACTATGGAATCATCGTGCCCAAGGCCAGTGTGATTGTGCGGGTCTGTCAACTCTAGTGGAGGACTGTCCTTGTTAAACCACCTACCGTGCCTTCCAGCACCATTGACTGGGCCAACTCAATAATCAAGGGCTTGTAGTTCCTGGCATCCTGGGATCTCCTGGGTCCAATCAGGGGTTCTCCCGGGCCCTGTCTTTAAATTCTACGAGAAGCTATGAGAAGAATGTTTTTACATCCGGTCTACTGGCTGCTGCTGCTCTAATACAGCCCCTCTGCTATGGAGTGGAGACACACGGGTGAACACCGGGAAATGGTGAGAGGGCTTCATTGGTCACTTCCAAGAAGCCCTCTCCTCACCTCTGAACTAGAAGCTCAATCCCTGTGGCCGAGTAATTCCAGCCCCTAAACTGTGATTTCAAACCTGGGAGCAAGACTCAAGAGCTGAAAGTAAAAACGAGCTCAAAAAATGTTGTGGAGGCAGAGGGTTCTGCCCACCCTGTGAACAATGAATTGGTCCCCTGAACCCAACCCTGCTCTGAGTTGTATAGTGTATAAAATTATTTTGTTACTTTGAAATTCTTTTCAAATATGGGGAGAGTAAATCAGGAATATATCTGTTGATCATGGGTAATAAAATTTTGCCAAAGATGAATAGAAATACAGTGTTAACATCTTGATGACTACTCAGTTCAGAGTAAGAAGTTGTTTCAGTTGAGAGAAAACTGTACAGGAGAAAACAACTGTAGTCTGGCGTGCTGCAGTCCATTGGGTCGCAAAGAGTTGGACATGTGTATATATGCCACATTAAAATAGAATATGTATGCATCCTTAAAAAAAAAAAAGAAATCAAGGAAATCACATACATAAAATTTCAATGAAAAAAATTTCTGCCACTTAAAATGTTGCTGCTGCTGCTCTAAGTTGCTTCAGTCGTGTCCAACTCTGTGCGACCCCATAGACAGCAGCCCACCAAGCTCCTCCAATTCTCCAGGCAAGAACACTGGAATGGCTTGCCATTTCCTTCTCCACTTAAAATGCTAATTTCAGCTAAATGGAAAACTTGTCAATCCAGAACAGTTCATGGCATGCCTGATGGAGTCAGATTACCCAAGGACCTTTTTATTTATGCAAGTGTCCTCCCAACAGAGTAATCTTTTGAGCAGTATAGAAAGTTAATAAGATTGTTTCCATGTAACTACATATGTTGCTACTTACTGATGAACTAATTATAGTGCCATACTAGACAGTATGTGTGGATGATCTTAATCACTTCATTGAGTATGCTTATTATTCTATTTCTACTTGATAGAAGGAAACTTACTCCAGCTTTCAGTTCTCTGCATATGGTTTCTCGTGACAGAGCTATCATCTTTTCATTAACAGAATTTAATCATGAAATCTAGAATCTAAAATCATTAAATGTTAATCTTTAAAAAAAAAACAAACAACCATCTATTTACTCTTTCTCAGAGGAAATGTATTAAGAGAATTTATAAAGGATTTTTGTGATCATACTAAGGAAAATACATGAAGACTGTATTAAATATCAACTCTTAAAAAATTAAAACCATTTCCTTTACCCTCAATGCCATCATAAACACTGCACTTCTTTTTAAAGCAGACATTTCGATTCCAGGCTTTTGCATCTCCAGTCAAATACCTACTACTGCCCAGAATGTTTACACCCCATAGAAATCTCCATCTCAGATCCTAACCTCAAGCTCTGTTTGTTGTTTCCCTATAAGCCCTAAATCAAATGTGACATTCAGTTCTAGGAGACTACATGGTACACGACGCAGGGACACAAAGACAAACAGAACCCAGTTCCTTCCCTCTAGGATGGGTTTAGGTTATTAGATATGTTAATTGGTAATTTCTATATATATTTATGCATGATTTGCCTATTTCTTGAGAAAGACTGGCATCACCCTCTTGTTTAAATTGTAATTTCCTTATTTTTCTCCCTTTCACATCCCTCTCTTCTGTTTACATTCTGTTTTCAGTATTTTAACTCCCTGCCCAGAATGTTGTTTGCTTTTTAAGGTATGCTAATACTTCCTGTTCTGCCTATTTCTACCCATAAAACCTACCCGATGCCATGGCAAAGGCATACATGGCAGTTATTAAAGATCTCTGTCTCATATTAATAGTTCTGGCCCTATAGTGAACAAAATTCTCCAAGGGATTAATTATTATAGGATATACAGGAAGATGCCAGTAACACTATGATTTATTTCCCCAAAAGGTCAGGTCAAAATTTTTATTAATGTAATTTCATACTCACAGTTCTTTTCATCCAAAAAGCACAAAACCATTTTATAATCCTTACTCAACTTCACAAATTAACAAGTGTCAATATTAACTATTGAGGCTCCCCCCCCCCCCGTGGTGCAGTGGTAAAAAATCCGCCTGCTAACACAAGAGACTCAGGTTTGATCCCAAGGTAGGGAAGTCCCCTGGAGTAGGAAATGGCAACCCACTCTAGTATTCCTATCTGGAAAACTCCATGGACAGAGTCGTCTGGCAAGCTACAGTCAATGGGGTCGGATACGACTGAGTCACTGCGTACACACAGTAACTCTAACCTCAACTTTGCCTAAGGGCTGGCTGGAGAAGGGCAGGACACCCAGGAGCAGCCTGTGAGAATCCTGAGAAACCACACGAGGACAGAAGCTCTTTTCCGGCACATGCCTACCTCTGTCTGCACCTCTCTCCCTCTGAACAAAGGAGAATTATGCATCTCAGAGGTACCTCAGAATTACCTAAATGGTATCACTACACTTTGCCAAAGAAAAACAGAGGCCCTGAGAGGTGACCTGACCGTGTTCTGTGGTGAAGCCTGGCACAGAGCCAGGTCACTAGGCTCAGAGCTGATGCTCATTCCAGGGACCACCTCTTCCTCTCCCAAGCAGAGCACAGCCCTCGGAGGCTAAGCTAATCCACATGGAGGGATTCTCCCACTAGCAGCTTGCTCTCAATCACACTGTCATTTTCTATTTCAAGTCAACAGCTAACAGGTTTTAAGGGGATACAGATATGAAAACCTGGGATTAAAATTTTACAGCAGGGTTTCTAATTTTAAAAATTCAAATCTTTTTTTTCTTCTTTATGGGAGATGCCATACTAACAGTGATTTCAACAATAAGATACTTGTTAAAGAAAGTGGATGGATGGTTATTTATAGTTACACTGTCAATTTATCCCTATTCTTAAACCTGATTTGCTAATTTTCAGTCCATTTTGCTTTGTTTTCTTTATATTTCTCTCTCTCTCTTTTTTCTTTTTAACAAATTAATCTCTCCTTTCACTAAATACAATTAAAAAAAAAAAAAACTTTTGGTTGTGCCATGCAGCATGTGAGATCTTATTTCCCCAACCAGGGATTGAACCTAAGTACCCAGCATTGGAAGCACAGAGTCTTAACCACTGAACTGCCAGGAAAATCTCACTAAATATAAGTTCCAACACAAGAGAATACTTTTTTAGAAACTGTTCACCATGAAAGAGTTTTAGATTATTGTTACTATCCATTTCTCTTTCTCAAAGATTTTTACCTTTACATTTTTAGTTCCACTGTATCCCCAGGGTCTCCCTGTTTAACATAAGTTTTCAAAAAGATTTTATGTTAGTGATTTTTCATCTTTCATTTCTTGCTCTATAAATAGGAGTCACCTATTTTATATACGTTCTTTTTCTTTATATATATATATATTTTATTGAAGTATAGTTGACTTACAATGTCTCAGGTGCACAGCAAGGTGATTCAGTTATACATATACACGTATATTGTCTTTGAAATTATTTTCTATTATAGGTTATCACAAGATATTGACTATAGTTTTCTGAGCTATACAGTAAACCTTCATTGCTTGTTGCATATCTATTCTTTTTACTCAAAAATCTAGCATTCTATCTTTGAAATTATTTTCTATTATAGGTTATCACAAGATATTGACTATAGTTTTCTGAGCTATACAGTAAACCTTCATTGCTTGTTGCATATCTATTCTTTTTACTCAAAAATCTAGCATTCTATTCACACTAGGTCAAATAAGTGGAACCAAAATAACATAGTTTAGATAGGCTTTTAGTTCTTAGAAGTCCCAAAACCAAGTTTGGAAGTTCAAACAACAGACTGTAGGGGCTTTCAATCTCAACTAATTATAAGAAAAAAAAACAGCAATAGGGGTACCATTCACGGGGTGAAAAGAACTGAATACCTCTGACTCCATACACACTTGAGAAAAAAATGGAAAGTACTGACCAAAAAAAAAAAACCACAGGAGAACATTTAGTTCATTTGGATGTTCACTGGACCCAGCTGGTCAATCACGTATTCCATTATGACAAAAACAAAAATAAAACCATGGATGAAATGCTGAAGTCCACAGACAGTTGCACAAACAGCACACACGCACAGAAGACAGTGCCAACACCGGGCTGTCAGCACTCAGGCTGCGCTGCCAGGGCACAGTGTGAAACAGACACCACGCTGATGCCCGTGCACAGGCGGCTTCTGGGACTCAGTGCATTCTTCAGGAGAGTGTGGGCTCCATCATCAGCGCTAGAACTTCATTTTAAATACAGGGAGTGGGGGGGAGGTCATGCTTATCTCAAAAGGCTCAGCTGTAACATGTCATTAGATTTTTAATGAAAACAAAATCAGCTTTTCAGATTTATATTTATATTGTGGTGGGGGTAAGGTAGAAGGCCTGAGCTGGAGAATGAAGGTAAAATGAAATCTAGTCACTGAATGTTCTTATTCCTTTCAGACTCCATTTTTTAGACTCAGGGTTTTGAGACATGCTTTAGCTGGCTTAAGACTTGTAGTTTGGGGCTCTAAGTCCAGTCAAGAAAAATAAGGAAATACTGCATAAAAGTAGGGCAAGTCAAGACTGAATACGTGTTTTGAGCTCAGAGAAAGTGTCTGAGGTTCCAGAGCCCTGGTAAACAGGGTTTTTAGAGGCAGAAGTCAGCAGGGGAGTGACAGACCTGAGGATTAGCACAGAGCTATTTGTCACTGCTATTTTGCAAACTCTCCAAATAAACTTCTGGTCAGACACCAATTCTCAGTTTGAACTCTATTAAATAGTCACACTAAATGCTAACCTTGATGATTAATAAAAACATGTAAATGCACTTACTTATAGCTTCGAAAATAAATCTTCCCATTCAGTGCAGTGAAGTGCAGAACAAACTCTAAACCAGCCAGGCGGATATTTGATACTGTGGGGCCTCTGAAGAAATCTAAAAGCACACATTAGGTTGTTAAAAATATTTTTTAAAAGACCAACATACCTTTAAAATTCAGTTACAAATTAGCTGCATTCTAAATAAATGCAACTCTTTAATGTCTTATCTAAAAAAGGTAAGTAGCACAAAAACTGATCCCTGAAAAAATGTGATGATCCCATCCTTCTATCATTTAATCTCATGATTATATTTCTGTGTTTAATTCACTGAGCCATGCATTAGGTTGGTGCAAAAGTAACTGCAGTTTTTGTATTGTTGAAACTTGGTGTTTGATATTGGAATACATTCTAAATAAACGTGCTTATACTATATATCATTTTAATGTTAGTTTCCTGCTTTACGGTTTTCTGCTTATGATTTATTATTGCTGTTTATTTTATATTTATCCTAGACTATGGAGATAATGTTAGACAAAAAGCAAATTTGAGGGATTTTCTTATTCGAGTTCAAAATGGGTCATAATGCAGCAGAGACAACTCAAAACATCAACAATGTATTTGGCCCAGGAACTGCTAACCAACGTACAGTGCAGTGGTGGTTCAAGAAATTTTGCAAAGGAGACAATAACCTTGAAGGTGAGGAGCATAGTGGCTGGCCATCAGAAGTTGACAACGACCAGTTGAGAGCATCACTGAAGCTGATCCTCTTACAACTACACGAGAAGTTGCCAAAAAACTCAACATCAACCATTCTACAGTCATTCGGCATTTGGAGCAAATTGGAAAGGTGAAAAAGCTCTATAAGTGTGTGCCTCATGAAGTGACCGGAAATAAAAAAAATTGTCATTTTGAAGTGTCATCTTCTTCTACTCTACGCAACAAATGAAACATTTCTCAATCGGACTGTGACCTGCAACAAAAAGTGGATTTTACATGACAACTGGTGACGACCAGCTCAATGGCTGGACGAGAAACTCTGAAGCATTTCCCAAAGCCAAACTTGCACCAAAAAAGGTCATGGTCACTGTTTGGTGCTGCCAGTCTGCTCCACTACAGCTTTCTGAGTTCTGGTGAAACCATTACATCTGAGAAGCATGCTCAGCAAATCAATGAGGTACACTGAAAACTGCAGTGCCGGCAGCTGGCACGGGTCAACAGAAAGGACCCAATTCTTCTCCAGACAACGCCTAACTACATGTCGCCAATCAATGTTTCAAAAGTTGCACAAACTGCGCTGCAAAGTTTTGCCTTATCCAGCATATTCATGACCTCTTGCCAACCGAATACTACTTCTTCAAGCATCTTGACAACTTTTTGCAGGGAAAATGCTTCTACAACCAGCAGAACAATGCAAAAAATGCTTTCCAAGAGTTCACTGACTCCTGAAGCACAGATTTTTATGCTACAAGAATAAACAAACTTATTTTTTGATGGCAAAAATGTATTGATTGTAATGGTTCTTATTTTGATTAATAAAGATGTATTTGAGCCTACTTAAAATGATTTAAAATTCACGGGCTGAAACCACAATTTTGTACCAACCTAATAATTTTTCAGTTTTGAAGTTCTCCCTCTAAACCAATGCTCACCACAAGAGTATATCATGTTTACTGTGATAATTAATTTTTCAGAAAATGTAAACAAGATATAAAATTTTAATCTACTAAGACAGGTATGTTAATATAGCAAAGGTCTATAAAAATGGCTGTTCAAACTTTGACTATTAAATTGAACTAGTGTTTGTTATATGGTGGAGGCCAACAAGAAAACGTCAACAAAGAATCTCAACTATATGAGCAAAGAAAAGCAACCTAAAGTGTTCAAGACAGAGAAGAACCACCAAGATAAGAGAGTAGGTTGTTTTCTCAGAGTGGTAGTAACACCCAAGTGGCACATGAGACAATTTTAAATTATATATACAGGCAGATATAACCTACAATGCATTATTTATGTTATTATATACCATTTTCCATTTAGAGTAGGAACATACGATTTCTTTTTAAAAAGAGAAATCAATTTAAAGAAAAATCTCCAGTGAACAACACTATGGATACTACATGGACATGGCTAAAGTTATAAAGATGACACGTGAATGAATAAAGTTTGGAGAATACATTAGTGAAGTTTGGTCACCTCATTCTACAGATAAGAAGACCGAACCTGAAGGAGGCTAAATGGAAACACGAATAACATTCAGCTGAGACAAGGTTATACATGAAAAGTCATCCAACTTAATTACTTAGGAAGAGCTACCACAAGACAGATGATGTCATGAGCAGGAAATATCTCATATTCTGTCCCAATCGCAGCTACCCAGCACTTTCCTTCCGTCTTCCCATTAGCTCATAAGATGGGAATAATCTCCATGCACATGGACATATACATCTTTTGTAGTTTGCCTTTTCCTTCTTATGGATAATTAAGAGAAAATCACATTGCTAATGTATATAAAACAGACATAAGCATGCCAACACATGTACATACCACCTTTCCTTACTACTCCAAACAAATATTCCTCAGGGATACTTTTATAAACCAAATATTCTTTTCAAATTCTGATCTCAAATTTGATTATAATAAAGACAAACTTTCACATAATTTTACCAAACCCCGACTCTTTCAGTGGCCAAGTTAATAAAGCCCCACTCAACTGTTGTGGCAGCATTACTGAAGTCAGAGTCATTCTGGAGAACAAGATATGTAAATTCCAGTCTCCCCGAAACAGCTTTTGCAATGCAAACCATACAGGCATGTGTTTATCCATAAGATTTTAAGAAAGAAAGAAAAAAAAAAAAAAGAAATGAGGTAGTAAGTTTTAAGAATACTACCCTTAGCTCACACCATACACAAAAATTAACTCAAAATGGATCATAAATCTAAATGTAAGATATATGGCTTCAACAATTTATAACATATAAATTATTACAAATTATATATATGCACATATATATATATGAAAAAATCTTTGCAACCTTGAGATAAGCAAAGGTTTCTTAAACAAAACACTGCATAAACGTACCATTAAAGGAAAAAATGGCTAAAGTAGATCTCACAAAAATTTAAAACTTCTGCTCTTTAAAAGACATCACTGTTTGCAGATGACAGGATACTATACAAAGAAAATCATAAAGATGCCACCAAAAATCTACTAGAGCTTATCAATAAATACAGTAAAGTTGTAGGATACAAAATTAATACACAGAAATCTGTGCATTTCTATACACTAATAGCACACTAGCAGAGAAATAAAGGAAACAATCCCATTAACAATCATGTCAAAAAGAATAAAATACCTAGGAGAAAACCTACTTAGGAAGGTAAAAGATCTATACTCGGAAAACTGTAAGACACGGATGAAAGAAACTGAAGATGACACAAACACATGGAAAGATGTACTGTGTTCATGAGCTGGAAAAATAACATTAAAATGACCATAATACCCTACAGAGTCCAATGCAATTGGATTCCTATCAAATTACCAATGGCACAGAACTGAAACAAACGATTTTTAAATATGTGTGGAAACACAAAAGATCCAAATAGTCAAACAGTTATTTCATGTCCGGTTCTAACTGTTGCTTCTTGACATGAATACAGGTTTCTCACGAGACCAGTAAGGTGGTTTGGTAGTCCCATTTCTTTTAAGAATTTTCCACAGTGCGTTGTGATCCACCCAGTCAAAGGCTTTCACACAGTCAATGAAGCAGAAGTAGATGTTTTTCTGGAATTCCCTTGCTTTCTCTATGGTCCAACAAATGTTGGCAATTTGATCTTTGCCTTTTCTAAATCCAGCATGTACATCTGGAAGTTCTCGGTTCATGTACTGCTGAAGCCTACCTAGATTGAAGGATTGAGCATAACCTTGCTAGGATTGAAATGAGCACAACTGTACGGTAGTTTGAATATTCTTTGGCATTGCCCTTCTTTGAGAGTGGAATGAAAGCTGACCTTTTCCAGTCCCGTGGCCCCTGCTGAGTTTCCCAAAGTGAAAGGTGTTACTCGCTCAGTCGTGTCCGACTCTTTGCGACCACATGCACAGCAGCCCACCAGGCTCCTTTGTCCATGGGATTCCCCAGTCAAGAATACTGGAGTGGGTTGCCATTTCCTTCTCCAGGGATCAAACCCAGGTCTCCTGCATTGTGGGCAAATTCTTTACCGTCTGAGCCACCAATTTGTCATCTACCCCCCAATAAGGGGGGTAGATGACAAATCGGTTAAAGTCAGAAGGAAAGCCCCAGTTCGAAAATTTTTTCAATGGGTCAATTCTAAGCAAAAGTAACGCCTTAAGCGTGACTGTGTCCATGAGTAAAAACCCTGGAAAAGGGCACAGTAGGCTGACCACGCTACTGATGAGAAATACCAGATTTACAGTCAGAGATCAGATCAGATCCTGATTCTGCCACTTACTACCTCTTCACTCTGGACAAAAGTAAAGTGGTCTCAATTTCTTCATCCACAACATGGGAATAATATCACCATAATGAACCGAGTGTTTGCTTAATTTCTAGTGTGGTTACATTTGGAAATGAGGCCTCTATCTAATAATTCGGGTGAAATGAGGTATGTCATAAGGATGGGGTCTGATCCTATAGGATTAGTGTTTTGATAAAAGGAGACACTAGAAAACTTCAACCCCTCTTTCCTCTTCTCTCTCCTTCCCTTCCTCCCCAAGGAAAAGCCTTGTGAGCACACAGCAAAAAGCCATCAAGAGAATCCTCAGCAGAAACCTGGACTCTTAGAACTTTGAGAAAATAAATTTCTATTGTTTATAAGCCGCCCAGTCAGTCTATGGTATTCTGTTATGGCAGCCAGAGAAGACTCATAGAATTACCTTTGTAAAAGCTGTAGAAAGGATTACATTTAATAAACTACTTGACCTAATCTATGGTAGTTATTTTCATTATTATATATACAATAAAGTGGAATAAGAATTAAGAAATGAGAAAGGTTAAAATAATTAAAACAACGACCAAAGATGTAGATATGGCCACTAACACAGACAAAGGCAAAGAAGAAAAAAAGTAACTGATGTAATTTAGATTTATGATAGACACAAAGAGTCGGACATGACTGAGCAACTTTCACTCACTCACACTTATATTAAGGAAGCAAAAGAGAAGCAAAATTTAGAATGAGCAAAATAGATACCTGGCATGAAAATACTGAAGTTAACTTTTCTTTCTGGCCAATTACAAACAAAAACACATCTTCCTAACAGGACAAAAGCCCCTGATAAAATTCTCTTTACCTACTGCTCTACATTTTTCTTTTTTTTTTTTTGAAAGGGAATGATATTTTTATTTAAATTGATGTTATGAGACAGATAATGCCATTAAATCCTCACTAAACCCCATGAAGCTGATACTCTTATAATTCACCAGCCAATGAGAAAATCGTACCTCAGAGAGGTTATACATTACTCCCAAGGTCATGCAGCTAAATCACTTCTGCTCAGTACAGTTGCTCAGCTGAGTCTGACTCTTTGCGACCTCATGGACTGCAGCACGCCAGGTTTCCCTGTCCATCACCAACTCCCAGAGCTTGCTAAAACTCATGTCCATCAAGTTGGTGATGCCATCCAACTATCTCATCCTCTGTTGTCCCCTTTTCCTCCTGCCTTCAATCTTTCCCAGCATCAGAGTCTTTACCAAGAAGTCAGTTCCTCGCATCAGGTGGCCTAAGTGTTGGAGTTTCAGCTTCAGCACCAGTCCTTCCAATGAACACTCAGGACTGGTCTCCCTTAGGATGGACTGGTTGGATCTCCTTGCAGTCCAAGGGACTCCCAAGAGTCTTCTCCAACACCACAGTTCAAAAGCACCAATTCTTCAGTGCTCAGCTTTCTTTATAGTCCAACTCTCACATCCATACATGACCACTGGAAAAACCATAGTTTTGACTAGATGGAACTTTGTTGGCAAAGTAATGTCTTTGCTTTTTAATATGCTGTCTAGGTTGGTCATAAATTTTCTTCCAAGGAGCAAGCATCTTTTAATTTCATGGCTGCAGTTACCATCTGCAGTGATTTTGGAGCCCAAGAAAATAAAGCCTGCCATTGTTTCCATTGCTATACCATTCCATTCCATTCCATCTATTCGCCATGAAGTGATGGGACCAAATCCCCCGTGATTTTGTGTTCTGAATGTTGAGCTTTAAGCCAACTTTATCACTCTCCTCATTCATTTTCATCAAGAGGCTCTTCAGTTCTTTGCTTTCTGCCATAAGGGTGGTGTCATCTGCATATCTGAGGTTGTTGATATTTCTCCAGGCAATCCTGATTCCACCTTGTACTTTATCCAGCCTGGAATTTCACATGATGTACCCTGCATAGAAGTTAAATAAGCAGGGTGACAATATACAGCCTTGATGTACTCCTTTCCCAATTTGGAACCAGTCTGTTGTTCCATGTCCGGTTCTAACTATTGCTTCTTGACCTGCATACAGATTTCTCAGGAAGCAGGTAAGGTGGCATGGTATTCCCATACCGCAGTTTGTTGTGATCTACACAGTCAAAGGCTTTGGCATAATCAATAAAGCTAAATCAAGTGGTGGCAAAAGACTCAAACCCCAGCAGTCTAATTTCAAAGGTAAGATTTTAACCAATAATAAATGCAAGCTCTGCTGAGACCTACCCCAAGGCCACAGGTGTAAGGCCTTGCACCAAGACTACAGAAGCAGAGCTCAGAACCAAGGTCACCCCTAAGGATGACTAAGTGCCTTTGTAATCATTGCCCAAAGTCCCCTTGATCATCACTGATCAGGCTTCCTGACCCCAAATGAGGCAAAAGTGCCCCCCACCCCTCCCCCCGAGCTCTACATTTTTCATTTGAACACACAACACCAACCAAGTTGCAAATCTGCAACTTTCTTACTTCCTATTTATATTAACAACTCAACTCTAAGTGCCAGACAATCTTACTCCATCCCTCTATCTGTTATTTCTTCTTTCCCTATGCCTTCGTGGTTTTTAACTCCCTACTGCTCATCACTGCATTATGTGGTTATTCCTGCCATCTAGTGGAAGCACAAAATAGTAAGATAAACATTTAAACAAAAGCAACAGAGCTGTTTCTAACAAATTATAAGTACTTCCCTCATTAATAGTAATTAAACCTAAGAACAAGGAGAGAAAAGCTGGAAATCTGGGCCAATGTAGTACAAGTACTAGAAATCTTGGCTAAAAAAACCTCCCCTGATGTTCTCAAATATGTAATATTCAAAGAAATATTGGTCCTTGTCTTCCATGTATCGTTGGTTTTTTTTGAAATCCATGGAAAACAGAGGTAAGAACCTAAAGTAAAGACTCTGCAAAGGAATTATTTACCATGGGCAGTATGAAGAGCAGAAGCAGAAAGCACAAGCTTTGGGTTTTGATTCTGCCTCACCTACCTAATAACACTTAACCTCTCTTAGCCTCCATCTTCCCATCTGTAAACTGAAATGTTACCAAACTCAAGAGCTTTAGTAAGGGTTAAGGAGGTAAGAGAAATACTTAAGTTTTTCAAAACAGCCATTATTAATAAGAGAAATGAGAAGCCCTGAAAACTATATTCCCAACAGGACCATAAATAATTCCAGTAAGGTAACATGAAAGCGATGTGTCTGCCCACAAACCTTCTTCAGTTGGCTCAGATTTGTAAAGAGCATATGTTTAATTTATTTATAAAATATATCCAAGCAACTTTTCAAAGTGATCTAGGGCAAAGTATGTAAAAACCCAAAAGAAGGGCAACGAGAAAAGTTAAGGCATAGCTTGTAACAACGGTGCAAGAAAAGCTCAAATGGAACACATTATTTAAACTTAAGAAAATTCCACTGAGTATCAGAAGAGTTAATATCTCTAGGGATAAACTAAACTACTTTCCAGAGTTAAAAACAGCTGTGGAGATGTGGTCACAGAGTATTAACTACTAGTAACCTTTAAGAAATCATAGTGAACAATAATGCCAGCTTTTCAACAAAGAAGAGAAAAAGTGGTTTAAAACTGATATATCTAACAGCAATCTCAGGCAATAACTACATTGTATACTGGAATTTAAGAAAGTGACCTGTGAACACACAGAGAGGGATGTCGTCATTAGATAAAACATTAGGAATGAGTGTTGTTCACTAAGAATCAGTCATCTATAAAACCACCTTAGGAGGTTTTGTTTTTGTTTTTAAATGGAAAAGGGAGGAAGGAAATTGGTGGAGACCAAAAAAGCAAATTATATGGGGTTATAGTGTGAAAAGTCTTGTATATCAGACTAAGAAAAACTAATAGAGGTTTTTGAATTGGGAGTAGATGATGTATAATACTTTTTAAAATAGAACTTTTCAATTTTATAAATTTTATAATGCCAATAATGACAGCATATGGGTGCTGTAAGGTGTAAAATGCAGTATAAATAGGTTGGTACCAAAGTTACTACACCATCAGAAAGAAATAGTAAACTATATAGTATAATATCCCTTTAATTCTCTGTGTCTAGTGGGGAAAACAAAATAATTAAAAGGAAAAAGAGAGATCAAAAGAAAGAAGCTGTTTATCCACAGTGAAGCTGCAAACTGCCACCACCAATGACAACTCTTAGAATGCCTACTTGAGCTATCCTGCAGATAAGAATTAAAATACTTACCAATAAAAAGACTTTTTAGTCTTCTGTAGTCTTCTGTTACATCAAAATCATCACCTGCAAATATTAACATGGGTTTTGTTCCCTCAGGACATTTACTATTCTAGGAAATAAAAAAATGTGATTATATAATTATCAAGTCTAAACTGTTTATATGCTGATTTTCAAGCAGTCAATATTTATAGCGACCCATTTTCATATTTTCTTGGCTGTCCTAAAACTATATCTATGAATACTGATTTTACTTATCTTTCTTGGCCCCACTGCAAGGCATGTGGGATCTTAGTTCCCCAATCAGAAATTGAACCTGTGACCCCCTGCAGTGGAAGCACGGTTTTAACTATCGGAATGCCAGGAAGTCCCTATGAATACTGATTTTAGACTTAAAACTAGAGTGGGGATTCTTTCATTTACAGATTTTTTTATACTAAAAAACAATTTTTTCATTCTGCACTCTTAGTATCAAGTTAATAAGTGATTAAAGAATGAGGTAAGCTACTTTCTATGCAAAGAATAAAATAAAAAGCTAAGCTGCAAAACAAACACATCTGTCTAACGGGCAACATTTCAGAGCTGAAATAAATTTAATTTCTTTGAATTATTTGTAACAATGTGCTTTTCCTACTGTGTCGTTTGTAGTATTTTAAAATGAAAACTAAATAAACTACCAGCTAAACATTCACATGGGAAGCAATATGTTATACAAGCTACAGAAAATATGGGCAGTCCTCACTCAACAGAATGAAAGCTCTTACTACAAAAAGTATTTTGTCTAATTCTGGCTTTTCTTTTTTTTTGGTTGCACTGCATGGTTTGTGGGATCTTAGTTCCCAAACCTGGGATTGAACTCGAGGCCCTCGGCAGTGAAAGCTCAGAGTCCTAATTGGACCTCCAGGGAACTCTCTAATTCGAGATTTTCAACACCAAAAGGAATTGTGAATTTTTGTTTTACCAAAGTGGGGAAAAAAAAAATCAAAGAGAAAAATTTCTTTTTAACTAAAGGATTAATTTAGGGAAGAAGAGTGATTGTTGGTCTGAGCTTTCCATTGATTCTAATATGTCTACTGTGACACTAACCAAGGATTTTCCAAATTGGGGGATGAGATGATAAGACAACAAACAAACAAACAAACATCTTCTGCCATTGGACCAGAGGTCATTTGTTGCTTCCCTGTTCACCATGACCACTCTTGTTGACATTTTCTGCTTTCAACCTGAACCTGAACTGTCTACTTAGGAGATGAGCTAACTCTGACTGAGGGCCTGAATAGACCTTCCAGACCCACTGACTCTTTCGTGTTCATCTGTGCCTAACTAACCTTAAATTTTAAATCATCTCATTCCTTACACTTATTCTATGCAGAATAACCATCCCTAGAATTTTGATCATCTTAGAAAACAAGTTTCTAGAATAATCACTCTATTTCCTGGTAGTGTCTAATCACTTGTTGCTTAAGTGTTAACAAAAGGATAAAGCTGGGCAATAAAAGTGGGCAAGTCCGAAAAGAAATGCCTGGTAAAGGTGTCTTAAAATGAGGAGGTGGAAATAAAGAGGAAATAAATCTGGAGAGAGAGTGCAACAAGACATGCAACTTCAAAACAAACTAAAAGTATAAGCTTGTATGATAACCAAATAACGGGTCATAGTGAAGGGGACTGGCTAATAGCCTATATAGGGATTGCCAATGTAAGCACATTCTCATCAGTTAATGAATTTTATAGTTATGGATATGTTCCATGAGTGAAAATTTAGTACTCAATTTAAATGGTTCTTGTTAAGAACAAGCCTGCCAAGCAGTAATGATGTTTTGGTCCAGTTTAGAAGCTACAACAGTGAGAGGGTATTTCTCTGCTCTGGAAGGGAAGTATAAAGAGCAGAGGGGCTGTAGGCATCAGCCAGCGCTCACATCCACTAACTGGTGACCATGCTAGCAGCCGTGGCACTGCTCATCTCCAGAGATTCATGCACAGCCCCAAAGAGAACCTGTAATACACTAAGCATCACAGTTTACATATTTTTCAGAATACCTTTCAACATATTATTTTCACTGATAAACATTTTCACATATATTATCTCAACTGACATTGTTACACCTATGTAACACTTGACTGCCAACTGTGGGTCAGGGAAATAACTGACTTGTCAGGTCACAAATGTCACCTAAGTGACCAACAAAGGCTTCAAACCCAAGTGTTCTGTCTCTAAGTCCAATCTCACTGTTCTACCCTGTACCTGAGGAGGCTCATATAGCTGATTAAGTGAGAATCTGATAAAAGCTCTTTTTCAAATCTACAGGAAATCTAGACAGCATGTCCTCTTCTTAGGGGAGGCTGGGAAAAGGAGTGATTATGTATTTGCTATAATTCTTTCAACTATACCAAGATCCTCAAAGATCCATAAACTGAGAACAATTACATAACCTTCCATTAAAGATTTTGGTATCCTTTCTTTCAAAATTCTTGAGTCCTAATGCTCCCCGGCCTTTTGGCTAAGATCAAGTATAGAACCAAAGTCCTTGAGTCCTAATCCAAGTTGTACCATTTGCTATATGTATGACCCTAGGTCATCAACAGAATTCCTCTGGGCCTCTGTCACCAAATCTATACAACAGGGAAAATAATTTCGGCCGCAGAGGGCAGCTAAGAGGTCATAAGTGAAATGTTGTGTTTGTTGGACTAGATTAAGCCAGGAGCAGAGGTCAGAGGGAGCAGAAGCCCAATTTGGATCCAGGAGCTGCATTGAGACAGTTTTCTTGCCTTTCTAAAACTATTTACTACTTTCTATTTCATAATCACAAACAAAGGAGACACAAAGGTGCCAGTCCTCAAGGGAGAAGTGAGCTAGCAATTTGACGGCTAGCAGCCAAAATACTCTAGGATCACCTAGAGCTTCCCATGTTTAGAACAGGGCTCACTTTGAAAACTGTGAAATTTCTGAGGTTACCCAAAATAGGTGCAGATGGAGAGGATAGCACTTCTACTATGGGCCTAAAGGAGAGTTAGTAACAACTCTGAATTCTAACTGCCTACATATGTGTTATACACTATAAACATCTTCCTCTTTTTAAAGATAAAACGAAATTGTACTTTTTAGTTTTTAGAGCACACTAGAATAAAAACCAAGTTGTTTCTCATTTAAGCTACAAAACTGTATCCTTTTCACCACAAGATGTCACTATTGCCCAAGAGCAACATAAAATGCTTCTTTTTAAAAAATCAATTATCTTACCTTAATATCTTTAAGGGAGACAAACTTCTCAATACCTAATTCAATCATATCCAGCACATGGTAGTCATACATACGACCTAGAAAAAAAATAAATTCTCTTTTAATCACTTATTTTTCCAAAAGAGCCGCCTTATATTCACCTACTTATCTGCTTCTTTTTTTTTGTCCTTTTATCTCCCAGACATGTTCCTTCTTTCTTAAATTTTCAACTCGACCTAGAATGAACTGTTACAACCTTGGTCCTGGAAAGGATTAAAAGATCACTTAGCCAAACTTCCTTATTTTACAGAAGAGCAAATGAAAGTCCATGGAGGGTAATGAACTTGCCATTGAGTCAGTGACTGTGTCAACCCAAGTCTCAATACAGAGCAACGGCTTATTTTCAAATATGTTTACGGCACAGGTATTTATTAGGAAGGGATCACTTTATGTGAGAAAGTATGATACTTTTTTTCCTAACTCTAATATTGATTTTAGGATATATGTTTTATAGTCAGAAAACCTCTACAACTTGATCGAAGGTGATATTAACATGCCCATCCTTTACCTGCAGACTGGTAGATAAATAAAAAACTAGCTTAGTGTTTACTGGTTACTCCTGAATACCATCAATCTGAGCCACAAAACTGACTCTATAAAATAAAAGTATTAGAAAGTAAATGATATTTACCTATTACTAGATTATTTGGCCGCTTCTTATTATGGGAGCCAAACATGAATAAAGAACAATCTGACTTCTTTGAAAAAAATTCCTGTAAAACCAAAGAAATTCCATTAAATCAATGCATAAATATAAGAACTTTAAGAATTGTACTTCTCTGAAATAAAAGGTACTCAGACTGGAAGGGAAGAGGTAAAACTGTCATTATATGCAGAAGACATGATACTAAATACAGAAAATCCTACAGTCCACACAAAAACTATTAGAACTGATTGATGAATTCAGCAAAGTAGTAGGATACAAGATTAACATACAGAAGTATGCTGCATTTCTTTATACTAACAAGGAAATACCAGAAAGGGAAAGTAAAAGAAAAAAAAAAATCCCTTTTTAAATCACATTAAAAAAAAAAAACACCACCTAGGAAAAAACCTGCCCTAGCAAGTGAAAGACTTAAATGCTGAGAACCATTAAGACAGTGACAAGGGAAACTGAAGATGATTTAAAGAAATGAAAAGACACCCCACACTCTGGATTGGAGGAATTAATATTGTTAAAATGGCCATACTATCCAAAGCAATCTACAGATTTAATGTGATCCCTATCAAATTATCCACGATATTTTTCACAGAACCAAAACAAATAATCCTAAAATTTACATGGGACCTATATATAAGATTTAGGTCCCTATATGGGACCTAAAGATCCAGAACTGCCAAAGCAATCCTGAAGAAAAAGAATAAATAAAGCAGGAGGCATAACCCTCCCAACATTCCAGACAGTACTACAAAGCTACAGTAATCAAAACAGCATGGTATTGGCACAAAAGCAGACTACACATCAGTGGAACAGAAGACAGAGCCCAGAAATAAAGCCACACACCCACGGTCAATAATCTTCAATAAAGAAGGCAAAAATATACAAGGGAGACAAGACAAGTGGTGCTGGGAAAGCCAGACAGCTGATGTAAATCAATGAAGTTAGAACACACCTCACACCACACATAAAAATAAACTCAAAATGGCTTAAAGACTCAAATAAAGGCAAAAATTAATAAGATCTAATCAAACTTACAAGCTTCTGCACAACAAAGGAAACCATAAACAAAATGAAAAAAGACAACGGAATGGGAGAAAATATCTGCAAACAATGAGGCAAATGAGGGCTTAATTTCCAAAATATACAAATAGTTCATACTATTCAATAAAAACAAAAAACCAACCCAAACAATGGACCCAAGACCTAAATATTCATTTCTCCAAAGAAGACATACAGATGGCCAATAAGCACATGAAAAGATGCTCAACATAGCTAATTATTAAAGAAATGCAAATCAAAACTACAGTGAGGTACCACCTCACACAAGTCAGAATGGTGGTGGTGTTGGTGGTGGTTTAGTTGCTAAGTCATGTCAGACTCTTGCAACCCCATGGACTGCAGCCCACCAGGCTCCTCTGTTCATGAAATTCTCCAGGCAAGATTCCTGGAGTGGGTTGCCATTTCCTTCTCCAGGGGATCTTCCCAACTCAGGGACTGAACTTGAGTCTCATGCATTGTAGGCAGATTCTTTACCAACTGAGCCACCAGGCAAAATGACTATTATAAAAAAGTCCAGGGGACCTCCCTGGCAGTCTGGTGGTTTAGACTGCGCCTCCACTGCAGGGGGCATGGGCTCCATCCCTGGCTGGGGAACTAAGATTCCACATGCCACACGATGTGACCTGCAAAAATAAAAAAGTCTATGAATAAAAAATGCTGGAGAGAGTGTAGAGAAAAAGGAACCCTCCTACACCATTGGGAATATAAGTTGGGTGCAGCTACTATGCAAAATAGTATGAAGACTCCTTAAAAAACTAAAAACAAGGGCTTCCCTGATGGCTCAGTGGTAAGGAATCCACCTGCCAATGTAGGAGACAGAGTTCAATCCCTGGTCTGGGAAGATCCCACATGTCACGGAGCAACTTAGCCCGTGTACCCCCAGTACTGAGCCTGTGCTCTAGAGCCTGGGAACTACAACCACTAAGCCCACATGCCTGAAGTCTGTGCTCCACAAGAGAAGCCACTGCAAACAGAAGCCCGCGCACTGCAACCAGAGCAGCCCCTGCTCACCACAACTAGAGAGAGCTTGTGCGGCCACAAAGACCTAGCACAGTCAACAATAAACTAATTTAAAAAACCACCAGCAATAACTGAAAACTGAGCTACCACATAATCCAGCAATCCCACTGCTGGGCACATATCTTGGAGAAAACTCTAATTCAAAAAGATGCATGCACCCCAAAATTCATAGCAGCACTATTTACAACAACCAAGACATGGGAGCAACCTAAATGTCCATCAACAGATGAATGGATAAAGATGTGGCGCGAGTGTGCGCGCGCGCACACACACACACACAGTGCAATACTACTCAGCAATAAAGAATGAAATAATGTCATTTGCAGCAATACTGATGAACCTAGAGGTGACCATAATAACTGAAGGCAGAGACAACAGCATATAACTTGTATGTATAGCCTAAAATATGACACAAATGAACTTATTTACAAGACAGACACACACACAGAAAACAAATTTACAGTTACCAAAAGGGAAAGAGGGTGGGGAAAGGATAATTTAGGAGTTTGGATTAGCAGATTCAAACTATCATACATAAACAACAAAGTCTTACTATACGGCATAGGGAACTATATTTGATATCCTGTAATAAGCCATAATGAAAAAGAATATGAAGAAGAACATATATATGTATAAATGAATCACTTTGAGGTATACCAGAAACTAACTCAACATTGTAAATCAACTATACTTCAATTAAAAAGAAAAAAAAAAAAACTGTATCTCTAAATTAAAAGCAAAATGTCCATGAGTCTTTTCAGCGGAAATTAAAAAAGACATAATAAACTAGACAGGAATAAACAAAGGAAAAGGTCTTTATTTGCAGCTTTTTATTTAAACTTTTTAAAATTTGAGGTACTTAGGGAAAATATGTAAGTTAAAGACTAAAAATAAATGAAAACTACTAGGTTAATAAATTTTAAAAGGCCATTTATTTTCAGTTATGCGGTTATTTTGGAATAGCATATGAAGTATTCCATTACAGACACACATGAATATACTACAGACTAACGTGAATTAATCAATATGGTGTTTTTGGATATCTATAAATGTACTCATGAGTTTACAAGGCATTTAACTACTTTTCACTGCAAACTTCATCCATGCAGGAATCTTGCCCTAGAATCTCCGCACCATTCCAGCTGTGACTAGTTCCACTTTGTACCAAGCAAGGACTAACTGACAGATGTATGATGTTCCTACCAGTAAGAGATTTTCCTCCATTTGGCTCACAAAAGTATTGACTTCCATTACAGATTTGACAGAAGTGGAAATATAGTTATGGGGTATCCTAGACAGTTTCTTCTACATTAGTACCTATACTTTACATCCCACATATTGATATTTTGATTCAGTTTACAGAAAGTCCCAATATCAGCACAAAAATTAGACTGAATATGTTCCAGTTTAGTTCCAGTACAGTAAAAATTTATTTATTCATTTATTTTTGGCTTCATTAGGTCCTTGTTGTGACACATGGACTTAGTTGCACCACAGCACATGGGACCTTAGTTCTCTGACCAGGAATGGAACCCACATCCCCTGCATCTGAAGGTAGATTCTTAGCCACTGGATCATCACAGAAGTCCAAGCTTCCTAAATTAATGGCAAATAATTAAAGAACATGTGAAGCAACCATCATCCTCAACTTCCTTACTGAGTCCAAGACCTGAGGTGTGGACCCCTAGTTTTGCATTCACTCCAGTGTTGAAAGAAGTAAATGGGACAAACAACTACCTTTTTTTTTTTTTTTTTCCCTACTTGTCTTTCTACTCCCTATGTAGAGGATAGAGTCAGAAAGTCTAAGAATTCAGGCTTTGCCATTTACTAGGGATTGGTCAACCTTTCTGAGTATCAGTTTTAAGGTGTAAATCAAAGACAGTAACACCTGCAAAAATCTGCAAGAACCACATGAGATGTCTTTTGTGAAAGCAATTTACACTTGGTCTGGCACCAAACAGGTGTTCAAAAAACGCTTTTTAAATGTCCAAATTGGTGAAAATCCTTTCTTAAAAAAATTTTGTTTTTATGTTCTCATGTTAACATCCCAAAGGTTTCCATAAACTGCCTTTCACATATATGTATATATGTGGTGTGTGTGCTAAGTTGCTCAGTTGTGTCCGATTCTTTGAGATTCCATGGACTGTAGCCCCCCAGGCTCCTCTGTCCATTGGGATTCTCCAGGTTGCCATGCCCTCCTCCAGGGGATCTTCCCAATCCAGGTCTTCCACATTGCAAGCAGATTCTTGACTGTCTTGAGTCACCACAGAGGCCTATATATAGTACTTATCTGTCATCCTTCTCCATAAAGTCCACTTTTTATTAAAATTCTAGAGCAAGAGAAGTCAAATTATCTCCAAAAGGCCAGAATAATAAATGTTTTAGACTCTCTATATACTTTTTTAAAAAAAGCTTTAAAATTGTAAAAACCATCTTAGCTCGTGAGCCTCATAGAAACAGGGATTCAGCCCACAGGAAGTATATTCCCCAGCTCCTGTGCACAATTCCAAGACTGCAGTATAAGAAGTGTGCTACTGGGGGATGCCCAGTCAGGAGTTAATCAACCCAATTTCTAACAGGACCACTGTTTCCACAACCATTTGGAGCTCTAGCAGTATGAAATTTATTACAGCCAATGAAATATCTCCTATTTCTGGAAGTAGAAGATCAAAGAGGGGAAAAGCCACAATGTCAAGTATAAGAAAAAATGTCGTTATCAACACTAGATTAAAAAAAAATACAAAATGCTAAAGATTCTACAACATAATACTTCTACACAGTGGTCACTCAACTAAAAGCACCATGGTATGACAAAATAAAACCAGCCCTGGATAAGTCATGTATGGAAGAGAGAGAATTCTGGGCTAGACTCTATATACATTTTTACTTTCACGATCTCTTCAACAAATGCCTGTGAAAAATTCAAGACTGTGATAAAAGCAACTTAATTAAAAAATGACGTTTATTTTGACAATATTTTTCTTATTATAATTTTCACTGCAGTTAGATGCCACGTTAGGATAAGATGCTCAATTTCAGTTTTTTAAGTAATTATTCAGATTCTATTCAAAAACTTTTCTTATTAAATTCACTAAGTAAAAGAACAAACTACAGGACTTCCCTGGCAGTTCAGGGGTTAAGACTCCAAACTTCCAAAACAGGGGGTGCACAGTGGGTTCAGACCCTGGTTGGGGGAAACAAAGATTCCACATGCCATGCAGCAAACAAACAAATAAGACAAGCAATGGTATTCTTGTCAAGAGAACATAATCATGTTCTCATGTTTAGCAATAAGTCAGGCAGTGTTCCCTGTTTTAAAAATATTCGAAAAAAGAAAAGCAAAATTTTTAAAAATTAAATTTGCATTATAAAAACAGATCCATAACAAACTTCCTTTGGACAATCCATTATACAATTATACACTTACAATTAACTCTTTAAAATTCTATCAATATACACGCAGGTAATGAACACATACTATCCATAGTGAAGCATAAGATCTATAGTAGTATTTTTGGAAATAAAAAAGTTTTATGTCCCCTGTATGCTCCATCAAAATTTTGTAACACAGGATGATTTCTAATTCAAAATCATAAGTTAGGACTACTATTAAATTAAATGAATTAGGCTGAATAATCACTTGTATGCCCTCTTAAATCAGAGATTCTTGTACTTACCAATGATGTCTGATCCTCAAATGGCCTTGTAATATTTTTCCTAATGTTAAAAGAAAAATGACTGTAATTTTAATAATTTTAATAAGCAATTAACCCATAACAATAAGGTAATAATATTAAATAAAGATAATTATATATTCAGATGATCAAAAAAAGAAGCTGGAAGATATTTATTCATTCAAAGATTTATTTAGTGCCAGGCACTGTTCTAGGAGTTAGGGATACCATAATACCATGTCAAACAAGATCCCTGCTTTCATGGAGCTTATATTCTAGAGGAAAAATAAACAATTTCAAAAAGTTCTAACTGTTGTGACAAAAATAAAACAAGGCACTGTGTTAGTGTGAAGAATGGAAAATGATTATTTGAGCTGAGACCTAATAAATAAGGAGTTAGCGATGGAAAAGTTTTGAGGTTAAGAGTACTCTAGGAAGAGGAAACCAAGTAAGAAAAGATTCTGAGATGGAAACAAGTTTAGATTAGTCAAGAAACAGAAAGACAACAAACATCACTGGAGCTTAATGAACAAAGAGTTAATGGTGGGATATGAGGTCAAAGATGAAGACACGGTCCAGAAAATGTAGGGTCATGGTTGGTTCAGGTAAGGAATGTAAGTTATTAAAAGAGTAACAGGAAGCACAGGGGGATTTTAGACAATAGAGCGATATGACTGGATTCAAATGTTCTCTTTAAAGGGTTGCTCTGTCTACTATGTGAGGATGCAATGTAATACAGCAAGAGTGAAGAGGCCCGTCAGCAGCTATCACAGGAATCCAGGAGAGAAAGAAAATGGTGGGCGGGACCAGCAGTGGGAGCAGTGGAGATGGACAAACAGTGGAGAGAGAAATGTAGAACGCTATCTTCCCATGCAAAAGGTTTGTTCAAATATGCATGAAGAAACTCTGCTAAGAGACACAAAAAACTAATGATGCTGGTGGTTCTAAGGAGAGTGTGTATTTATATTTTCACTGTGTATTTTTGAATTTTTAGTCACGTAAATATAATACAGTTCATAATTTTTACCCATTTAAAGAGAAATAAAATCATATATACATGATCTCAATTTTGTTTAAAGAAAAAAAATAGATGTATAGACACAAAACTACATGAGGAGAAAATATACACAGTGTTTATCTGAGTGATTATTTACTCTTTTCCCAATTATTTAAGATAAATATATATTACTTTTATAATCAATACAAAAGTTATTTAGAAAAATGATGCAAGACAAATCAGGAAAAATTACTGCAGCATTTATGATTAACAGCTAAAAGCAATTTACAAGTAAACAGAAGACAGAAATTATAAAGAAGAAAAGGAGAAAGGCTCAAATGAAGTCTCTGGTATTGGAGTGGAATTGGAATCAATAGTATGAACTCATGAATTATCAGGAAATATCAGGAAATATCAGTATCACCTCAGGGCTTTTTAAATATATAGATAAATATAAAATATAAACAAATACAGACATGCATACATGCATAGGTTAATGTACATATGTACATTTTCAAACTCTTGTCTGCTAGAGGACTCCAGTAGCAACTGAGCCTACTTAACGCCCAGATCTCTGTTTCTAAGTTATCTTCCTCCAGTGTCTGGAACCAGGACTGATTCCAGGGCCCTGGCAATGAAACTGCAAGATGAGCACAGAGCATCTTGTGATGCCAGAAAGGAAGAGCTCAAACACACGGGCATTTTGAAAGGGCACACAAGCCAACCTGCCAGAGATTCCAATGGCCAAAGGGAGAACAATTTAGCAACAAAATGAATCATGACAGCACTGAACCCCAAGGAACATAATAAATATATAGTCCACACCGACATAAATAAGTAATTTAAACAAATGAAGAAGAAGGGACTGATTTTCCTTACAGAATCCCAATTAATAAATATAGAGGGAATGAAGGGAAATAGAAAACCACTACACCACCACATTAAGCACTGTTGTAGACAGGATTCACCGATAGATGCTAAAATGAATAAGCAAAAGTTTGAGGAGAACTAGGATTACTTAAAAACTTGTAAGTATCTCCTCTAAACATCTGTTAATTACAAAGGGGAAAATATCAATAACAACTTTATAGTGGGGAAATCTAGGCAGACACCACTTTAATCAAACTTAACAACACAAGTATAAAGATATCAAGTATTCCTTGGTAAAATATACTGAAAAGGCACATCACTTTTGTGATATTATTGCCAAAAATGCACAATCTCAATCTATTCATAATATAAGACAAGTCCAAACTGAAGGATATTTTACAAAATAACTGACAAGTACTCATCAGAAGTGTCAAGGTCATCAAAGATGAGGAAAGGCTGAGGAACTGTCATAAATTGGAGGAGACTAAGAAGACATGACAACTAAACACAATGTGGGATCCTAGAAGAGGAAAAGGATATTAATGAAAAAACTGGCATGAACGAAATCAAGCCTGTGATTAAAAAGTAAGTGTGTACAAATTACTGTCCCAATGTTCATTTCTTACTTGTGATAACTGTGCTATGGTTACAGAAGTTATAACATTAAGAGATATAGGAGAAGCGTATATGGGAACTCTACTATTTTTGCAACTTTTCTGTAAGTCTATTACTATTTCAAAGTAATACATACATCCTATGATTACAGCTTTGTAAGAATGTTCAGTACAAATGAATACACAGATGGTAAAGAAAGAAATTTTGAAATACTCATAGCTATGTATGTAAGGAAATGTACTATCTTTTAAATAAAATATTTTTCTAAGTCTCCCATAAAGTGATTGGTGTTACTTTTATAATGAAACAATGTAATTAAATAAGTAAAAGAAATCACACTTACTTTTTATACAGAATGCCATATGGTTTCTTCAATGCATACTGTAAAACATAATTTATAGCTTTCAAAACAAAACATATTCTGAAAAGCAGAGATAAAAGTGAAGCACTGTAACAGTCATTATGCAAGATTATCCTAGCTCCTGAATCCTATTCTGATATCTTCTGCATGGCTCCCCTTTGATTACATATAACTTGTAACACAAGCTTAATACTCTTAGGACTTTCCTAATTAAAAATTTCTATGCCCTTTCAATATTCTATCCAATTTAAATGATTTCCATCACTTCCTTAAATTCTAGCTTCATTTAACCTGCTCTCCTTTAACCATCCCCAATTATCTGCAATTCCCCAAATGTGTCATGCTCCTTCACACTCCCTTTGTGTACAAGCTTTAGCCTCAGCCTTGGAAGCCCTTCTCTTCCTCTTCTTGTTTCAACTCCTTCAAAAATGAAGCTTAACTGTCATCTCTAGGAGGCCCACTCTGTGTGACAACACTCATGGGATTTTAACTCAGCCTCCCATCCTACTCCGTGACAGAGGACGAGATGGTTGGATGGCATCACCGACTCGATGGGCATGAGTCTGAGTTAAGCTCCGGGAGTTGGTGATGGACAAGGAAGCCTGGCATGCTGCAGTCCACGGGATCGCAGAGAGTCAGACACGACCGAGCGACTGAACTATCTGACTGACTCCCATCCTACTCCGTGCATGCCTCCAGCACAGCACATCATTCACAATGCTGTAACTTCTACTTGTCTGTCTCTCTCACTAGGCTCACTGAAGGGAGAGATTGTGTCTTATATAAATATTAATTCCCAGTATCCAGCACAGTAGTTGGTATTGTTGAAAAAATAAATAGATACAATATGCAGTTAGCTCATTTTACATTTTAGATATGTTCTTGAAATGTGAGGAAATCAAATTCCAGTCACTGAAATCAGGTGAAATTTACTAAGGGAAACGTAAGGAAAACCAGTAGTCAGTGCTTTGGCAAGGCAAACAACCTCCAACTTTAGCTTTTTTCTAAGGTTAGCATTTCTTGAGGCAAGGCAAAGTTATCTATGTATTTTTCAGCAGCCCAATTAGTATGCTAAAAACTTTCTAAAATGATTTCAATGCCATTTAAAAAGTATGGATATATGTAAATATACTTACCACATCTCTAAGCACTTGTGTTACTGTTAAATTTGCATTTCCCCCTTTAATCAACATAGCATTTTTAATATTTTCACTGAGTTTCGGTTCTCTCTTCTCAAGGAATCTCTTGGCTCTTTTTGTTTTGGGTTTTCTGTTGCGAAAAATCACAATTTATAACAACTTAAGACATTTTCCTCATATTACAAAACCAAGACTTATATGCAAATTCTGAAATATCAAAGAGACATTATATAACATTTATTAGTTTGGATTCTACAAAATCTCATTTTGGGGGGAAATATTAACAAAATATATTCAGTTATTACTATTAAATGCATTAATTTCATTACATTCAGTCTTTAAAAAGACTTCCATTTTTATATTCCCAGCATCCTATTACTGTTTTCTAAATCTTTTATTAAAAAAACAAGGACTCAAGTGAATACTGTTGCTATTTTTACCCTATTATATTTTCTTTAAACTTAAAGCAATCAAACCAGTACTCTGCACCCTAACACAATGAAGTGCACAGCAACCGCTAGTCAACCTGTGGGCACAGGGAGGCTAATTACTGCTTATCTTTCCTCCAGGTATAAGACCACAATGCCTGCCAGGAAGTAGCCAATGTCCCACTCCAATATCACCGCTGATAAAGTCAAATCCTGTTGCCACCAACTGAGAATAACAACAACTGACACTTTATTACAGAGTTAGTCTATTAAGGCCTAATCTTTTACAGATGAGTCAGCTGAGGTAATCTGTCCAAAGTCACACAGGTTGGCATGTAGGCCAATCTTCAAAATGAGCTACATTTAAGAACTCACCTAGACAAATCCTACAAAATATGAAAGGAAAACAGGGGCTTCCCTGGTGGCTCAGAGGTAAAGAATCCGCCTGCAATGCAGGAGACACAGCTTCGATCCCTGATCCGGGCAGATCCCACATGCTGCAGAGAAAGTAAGCCTGGGCACCATAACTATTGAGCCCAGGAACCGCAACTACTGAAGTCGTGTGCCCTAGAGCCTGTACTCCACAATGAGAAACCAATACAATGAGGTACCAGAGCACCATAACTAGAGAGCAGCCCTCGCAGCAACAAAGACCTAGCACAGCCAAACATGTATACACGCCCATACACATTTATACCATATATGGAAAACAAACTCATTATTCTGATTATATTCTGTCACATCGAGTAGAAGGCTTTTATACATTACGTTGTTCACCTCCACTTACACTACAGTGAGAATCTTGATTTTCCATCTGCCACCTACAGAAATAATTTCTCCTCTCTTAAATAACTATGATCTGCTCTTCTTCCGGTTCCATGTACACTTCGGGAAGGAAAAGAAAAACAGAATACACACACACATACTTTACCATACAGACTTTAAAAAACTCTCCTCCAGATAAAATATCAAGCACATATAAAGCTTCTAATCATTTACTGGTTGATAAAGATACATATTATTTTTTAAGTCAAACCAAGAGAGATTTAGTGCATCCATAACCCAATAAAAGTGCTGTATGTTGCATATTCCATGTGGTTTATTACTTCTGATTAACCAGCAACTTCACGGCAAATAGATGGGGAAACTGTGGAACAGTGGCTGACTATTTTGGGGGGCTCCAAAATCACTGCAGATTGATGACTGCAGCCATGAAATTAAAAGGCTCTTACTACTTGGAAGGAAAGTTATGACCAACCTAGACAGCATATTAAAAAGCAGAGACATTACTTTGCCAACAAAGGTCCACCTGGTCAAGGTTATGGTTTTTCCAGTAGTCATGTATGCATGTGAGAGTTGGACCATAAAGAAAGCTGAGCACCAAAGAACTGATGCTTTTGAACTGTGGTGTTGGAGAAGACTCTTGAGAATCCCTTGGACTGCAAGGAGATCCAACCAGTCCATCCTAAAGGAGATCAGTCCTGAGTGTTCACTGGAAGGACTGATGTTGAAGCTGAAACTCCAATACTTTGGCCACTTGATGGGAAGAGCTGACTCATTTGAAAACACCCTGCTACTGGGAAAGATTGAAGGCAGGAGGAGAAGGGGACCACAGAGGATGAGATGGTTGGATGGGATCACCGACTCAGTGGACATGAGTTTGGGTGGACTCCGGGAATTGGTGATGGACAGGGAGGCCCGGCGTGCTGCGATTCAGGGGGTAGCAAAGAGCCGGACACGACTGAGCGACTGAACTGAACGAACCAGCAACTAATGCAAACACCTTGTACGTTTTATTAGCTGTTTATCCCCCAATGAGACAATAAACTAGTCTTACTCATCTTCGCAGCCCCCAGACCTACAGAGCGTACAGCAAATGTGCAAAAACCCCTGAATTAATGACCAAACGAATAATTTGTCCTTTTGATTATACGTTAACCCTGGTAAACCGCAAAAAAAAAAAAAAACAACAACAACAAAAAAAAAACCATAGCAAATCACATAACTATTTAGGAGATCGAGAAACAATTTCTGGACGAATTTAAAGCAGCGATTACCCAAGGATAACTCAAGAAACATGTACAACTTCTGGAAAAAGAGGAAATGAGCATCTCTCTGCGCTGAAACAAAGCCTTTACCTACATTCTCGCAAATAATCCTCACACTTCTATGAAGAATGACTATTATAAACGCTACTTTATACAGCAAACTGAAATTTAGGGACGCTAAATGACCCAACCACAAAGCTCTAAGCGGTCTGTCACCTAAATCTGTCAGCTTCGAGGCCAGTGCTCAGAGCCCCTCACTCTAACGCCTTTCTCACACATCTGCGGAAACCGAGACATTCCCAATTGTCTAGGACAAAAGCTTCCAAAGCCTTGGTGCCACCTCCACCTCCGGGCTCCCACACGCGGACTTCCCCGCTCTCCGTCTCCCCTCAGGCGGCACGAACAGAGACCCAAACCAGCTGCTCCATCTACCCGGACTGGCAACGGGTGTGAGGAAGCAGCGTGGGCGGCAGAAGCGCTGACACTCCGTCCCGCTACAGGAGCCCGTTTTGCGCCAACGTTACCCGGGGAAAGAACCCAGTGCACTTACACAACTCTATCCAAAGCGTCCATCGCTACCTCAGTGGGAACCCGGTGAACGCACGTGTACCGCCCGCTTTCGCGATAGGGCTGTGTGTTGCCGGAGGCGGAACCGAACTTCCGGAAACGGAAGTTGCGTGTGACGCCACTTCCTGGGGCCGAAGTGGGTCCCTGGAGACGCTATTGGTTGCGGAGGAGGGACTGTTCCCTTGGTTACAGGTTTTTGCGTGGGTTCTTTTCAGAGTTAACGCTTCTAGGAACTTGATGTGCACACCTGTGTATGATACTGGTCAGGGTTCTTGGCCTTCCCTCAATCAATAGAAATTGGAGAGGCCAGCCAAGAAATTAAGGCTAGGTTTTTGGGAGGCTGCTGCGCTTGCAGGAGGGACTAAAACCAGGTAACAGGTTCCCTTGCCTGCTGGGAAGGGGGCGGGGCAGGTGAGCTGGTTCCTTATATGGCGTGAGGACACGGGTGGCCTGGAGGGGTGGCTCACCTCTCCAGTTGAGTTTTGTGTGTGTGGGTCTGTGGTTCTTTTAAATCTTTTCCATAAGTTGCTCCAACTGCCCATGCACAGTTATTTTTAGTCTCTTACGGCTTCTGTGTATGTTATTACTGGAGGAAAGGAGACTTTTGTCCAGGTGCAAGCATTGCAGCACTGCAGGAAAAGGTCCCAGGTCTGAGCCTCTATCATGTCTGTATCTGGAACCAGCTATTCAAGGAACAGGTGTTATTCATCTGGGAATCCCCCAGGATGCTAGAAAGGTTGATGGCATGGTAGGTACTCACATAGTCACTAAAATGATCAATGTGCAATATGCACCGTTGAGAAAACAGAGATCAGTGAGATAGAGTTTATAACTGCCATGGTGCCCGGCACATAAAAGGTATGGAAAAAATAAACACTAAGATCGTTACTTCCCCACTATGTTTCAATTGTATATTTTGGGCACCATGTTAGTCCTGTAAAGTGTACAATTTCTGTGGTTTTTAGTGTATTTACAAAGATGTACATCCACCACCACTAATTTCAAAACATTTTTATCACCCTTCTCATAACCCAGTAGCACTCCCCACTTTGCACTCTTGCTGATCCCTGGTAACCTCTATGTCTCCATAGATCTGCCTATTGAGAAAATACCATATAAATAGATTCATACAATATGTGGCCTTTTTTGTCTGGCTTATTTCACTTACTATGTTCCCACGTGCTCATGTTTATGGTTCACATGTGTTGTAACATGTATCAGTACTTCATTCTCAGTACATTCATTTATTTAGAACTGGGTAATGGTCCATTCTGTGGATATACCATGTTTGCTTATCCATTCAAAAATTTATGTACATTTGTGTTTCCACTTTTTTAAAGATTATACTTTATGATGCTTTGAACATCCATGTTCAAGTTTTTGGGTAGACTTCTGTTTTTAATTCTCTAGAAGTAGAATTGCATATGGCCACCCTGTTTGATGTTTGAGGAACTGTAAAACTTTTCTGCCTGCACCATTTTACATTTCTATTAACAATGTAAGAGGGCCTGGAATTGGTTTTTCTATTGCTACTGTAACAAATTACCACAAATTTACTATCATAACACAAATTTATTATGTTAGAGTTCTAGAGATGGTTGCTCCTTGGAAGAAAAGCTGTGACAAACCTAGACAGCATATTAAAAAGCAGAGAAATTACTTTGCCAACAAAGGTCCATCTAGTCAAAAGCTATGGTTTTTCCAGTAGTCATGTATGAATGTGAGAGGTGGACTATAAAGAAAGCTGAGCACCAAAAAATGCTTTTGAACTGTGGGGTTGGAGAAGACTCTTGAGAGTCCCTTGGACAGCAAGGAAATCAAACCAGTCAATCCTAAAGGAAATCAGTCCTGAATATTCATTGGAAGGACTGATGCTGAAGCTGACCGCACTCAATGCTTTGGCCACCTGATGCAAAGAACTGACTCACTGGAAAAGACCCTGGTGCTGAGAAAGACTCAGGTGGGAAGGTGGGAAGAGAAGTGGATGACAGAGGATGGGATGGTTGGATGGCATCACCAACTTGATGGATATGAGTTTGAGCAAGTTCCGGGAGTTGGTGATGGACAGGGAAGCCTGGCATGCTGCAGTCCATGGGGTGGCAAAGAGTCAGACACTACCAAGCGACTGAACTGAACTGAGACCTCTAGAAACCAGAAGCCTAATTTTACAGGTCTAAAATTGTCAGTAGGGCTCCATTCCCCCTGAAAACTGGAGGGAGAATCTTTGCCTTTCCAGGTTATATAAGCTGTTTGCATTTCTTGGTATTCCTGTATCTAAAGAAGGCATCACCCAAACTTGTTTCTACTGGCATAACTTCTTTTTCTGTTACTTGTTTGACTCCCTCTTATAAAACTCTTGCAATTACATGTGGCCCACTTGGATAATCCACAATTATACCCCCCAATCTCAAAATCCTTAACCTAATCATATAGCAAATTCCCTTTAGCCAAGTACAGTAACATATACACAGATCCCTGTGTGTAGAGCATGGACATGTTTTGTGGAGAGCATTATTCTATTAACCACAGGTTCCAGCTTCTCCACTTATCTCCAAAATTTGCTACTGTCCATCTTTTTTCTTCAAGCCATCCTACCTAGTGGGTATAAAGTGGTAGCTCACTATGGTTTTCATTTGTATTACCCTGATGACAAGTGATTTTGAGCATATTTTCATAGGTGGATTAACCATATCTTCTTCCAGAAAAATGTCTGCTCAGAACCTTTGTCTTTTTATTGAGTTGCAATAGTTTCTCATATATACTAGATACAAGTCCCTTATCTGATGGATAATTTGCAAATATTTTCTCCAGTTGAATAGATGTCTTTTTTCCTAGATAGTGTCCTTTGAATTGAAAAAGTTCAATTTTGATGAAGTCCAATGTGTCATTTTTTTTCTTTTGTTGCTTCCACTTTTCATGTTTTATCTAAAAGGCCATTTCCTAATCCAATGTAATAAAAGATTTATACCTATTATTTTCTCCAAAGAGTTTTATAACTTTAGCCCTTACACTTATTTAAGCCATTAATCCATTAAAAAAATTATATATATGTAAAAATACTTTTATAATATTTGGCTGCACCAGGTCTTAACTGCTGCACTTGGGATCTTTGATTGCAGCATATGGGATCCATTGCATGTGGGATCTAGCTCCCCAATCTGGGATCAAACCTGGGCCCCCTGCATTGGGAGCAGGGAGTCTCAACCACTGGACCACTAGGGAAGTCCCCGTTGGTCCATTTTGAGTAAGTCTTTGTATATAATACAAGACTGGGGAGGGGGTCCCACTTCATTCTTTTGCATGTGGATGTCCAGTTGTCCCAGCACCGTTTATTGAAAAGATTCTCTTTGCTTCACTGTATTGCCTTTGTTCCTTATCTAAGATCACTTGACTATGTCTACTTCTGGGCTCTCTTCTGTTCCATTGACATATTTGTCTATTCTTTCAGCAATTCCCACTGTCTCTATTACTATAGTTTTTACAGTAAGTCTTGAAGTCCTCCTACTATATTCTTTAACATTGTATTGGCTATTCTGAGGTTGGCCTCTCATATAAACTTTAGAGTCAGTTTGACAATATCCATAGAAAACTTGCTGTAATTTTGTTGGGACTGCATTGAATCTATAGATCAAGCTTGGAAGAACTAATATCTAGAAAATAGGAGCACTTTCATATACACAAGCTGGGCACACTGCTGCTGCTGCTGCTAAGTCACTTCAGTCGTGTCTGACTCTGTATGACCCCATAGACAGCAGCCCACTAGGCTCCCCATCTCTGGGATTTTCCAGGTAACAACACTGGAGTGGATTGCCATTTCCTTCTCCAATGCATGAAAGTGAAAAGTGAAAGTGAAGCCGCTCAGTCGTGTCCGACTCAGTGACCCCATGGACTGCAGCCTACCAGGCTCCTCCCATGGGATTTTCCAGGTAAGAGTACTGGAGTGGGTTGCCATTGCCTTCTCCCAGGCACACTGCTAACTGGAATAAATTCTGAGATTCTGTTACAAAGAGAAAAAAGGAAGACCAGATATTGGGTCAAGTAATTAGCAGTCTCTCCACATACACATGGTAGAAAAAAATGTTTCTGATTAAAGGAAAGCTGAGACTAAAGTCATATAAAAATTGGGAGGATATACATGCTTATGATTTGGAAAGGCTTTTAATCAGGGTATGTTGTTTTCCAATTAAATAGGAAAAAGATACAGAACTTATTGAAGAAAAAAATTTCTCATTCTAAAACATTAATTTTCTAATCTGTCAAAACAAAGTTATACCTCCAACAGTTGAGAGATATAATTTTTTAACACTTTTAATTGGAGGATAATTGCTTTACAACACTGCTGGACAACGTGAACCAGCCATAAGTATACATTATCTCCCTCCGTCTTGAGCCTCCCTCCCACTCTCCCATCCCACATCTCTAGATCATCACACAGCACTATGAGATATAATCAATGTGAGGTGTGTTTTATACCAGCATAAACCATATAAAATGGCTGGGTTTTATAGTCAGAAGCAAATATTGGTAATTTCATATAGATCAACCTGTATCAAATTTTGTGAATAATTTACTTAAAAAAAATACTAGTTAGAGCAGATCTAGCTTATCACTGTAATACTTAATTTTTAATTGGAGGATAATGGCTTTACAATGTGATATCACTGTAGTAAACTGCCTGTTACCGCTGAATTCCAATCATCTTTCTTCAGTAGGAAAGGAATGAAATTACAGCTGAAATATCAGGAACTGTACCTTCACCCTTAAGCACTTCTGAATTCTTCTGTTCTCAGAATTATAATATTGACTTTGGTAGACTGGAAGATGCCCCCCCACCCCACCACCACAAATATTTTCATGCCATAATTTTCAGTGTTATGCCTGTTTACATTACATGGCAAAATGGACTTTGCAGATGGAATTAAAGTTATAGACCTTAAAAATAGGGAAGTCAGCCAGATGTGCCCAATGATATCAAATAAAAGAAGGGTCTAACATCAATAGGATGACAGAAGTAGCAGGGGAGAGTCGAGGACTGAGAGGAACTTGACCATGGTTGGCTCTGAAGAGAAGGGGCTATGAGTCAAGGAATGCAGGCAGCCTCTGGAATATGGGAATGGCTCTCGGCCAACAGCAAGGAAATGGGACCGTGATCCTTCAATTGCAAACAACTGAATTCTGTAAACAACTGAATGAACAAGGAAATGGAGTCCCCATCCTACCTCCAGAAGAGAAGTTCTACAAATACCTTGATTTTAGCCCAGGTGAGACCCATCTCAAACAGCTGACCTACAAAACTGTAAAAGACAATACACTTCTGTAGCTGAATACACATAAGCCATTAAATGTGGTAATTTGCAATGGCTGCAATAGAAACATATACTTACCTTAGTAAAACCTCCATTTTAAAGGACTCATCACAGAATGGTCCCTATAGTCCTTGAAACCATATTTTTAAAAACTCAATATTTGGTCCTTAATGATTCTAGTATATTAAACTACATTATAACTGGAAATGTGCATACAGCTAACAAAAATAAAAATTGTGAACAACTACAAAGTCAATTATTTTATATAAAAATTGTATAAAAAGTTTATGACTAGTTATTATGAGAAACATTTCATCTAGGAGTGATTTCTAAGGCGGTTTCTTGAGTATCCATAAAAACAGACCCTTCTGTCTCAAAAGAAGGGAGATCAATAAGAGGACCAGAATCCTCTATTTCCAAGTTTGGTGGTTTCTCCTGTTCATAAGCCAGGTTTGAATTATCTTTCATTTGAATCTCGTGCTCGTCCAACTCCAAAGATTTATCTGGGTCTGGAGCTACCGCTTCATCCTCTTCATGCTGATGCAGAAAATTACAAATCATGTTGGGCCTATAGGAGAAATCATTCTCCTTGATTTGCAGCCATTCCACACCACCTAATAGGGGAGGGTGTGGGTGGGGTGAGAAACCAAGAGATATGAAAAAGGAATTTTAGTTACTTCCAAATATTTTTCATTTAAATGCTCATATGAATATTTATCAATATAAAACCCCAACTTAAAGAAAGGAACAAGGTGCCTGAACCAACTGATAAACATGTAATTTTCATCTTACATGGAGACCTTGGAAAGCCTGTAAGGTATGCATTATCAAAATCACTACTATTCTAAGCCCTTTTTCCAGAGTCCAGTTCCCAGCTCATTCTGAGAGATAACTGATCTTCCACTGCCATCTCTTGTCTTGAAGAAAATTGTCATTTCCCTACAATTTTCTTCTTACTCACCCAGCTTTCATAATATGGTGGATGATACCACTCTGTCATCTTCCAAGTCAACATTTATGTGTCATTTTTTAAAAAATTTTTTATGTGTCATTTTAAATTGAAGAATCCAATTGTGAAATAAGACACCTCTCCAAAAAAAATCCTTGAAAAAAATTTTTGTCCCTTTTCATACCTACAGTCAAAGCCCTAATCCCTCAATGAACTCCCATAATCAAGAATTGCTTCAATAGTGCTAGCCATTTTTTTCTCTTACCCTTCTGACCCTTTCAGAAAGCCAAGTATTTTCATAGATACTTAATTCCTATAACCCAAGCTGTTTACTGTCATTGTCAAAATTCCATTAGGTATCTGTAAGATATCCCAACTTATCTTGTCACCCTGTTTGACCATCCATCTGTCTTCTACCCCACCATAAACTAACTCTTCTGCAGCTGTTTATTGAAACATCCTGTTGATCCCATGTTTTCTCTATAAAGTCTCCCTCTTTCAAAACTTGATTAGTCCTTTCCCTCCAGCTCAGCTTCAACTATTGACTTCTATTAAAAAAAAAAAAAAAAACTATATTTTTTGCTTGCAATAACATTATTCTCTTAGTCACCAAGTTCAAAATCTTAAAGTCACCCTAAAGCCTACTCCATTATTTAGCATAATACTTGACACGTACTGCTAAGTCACTTCAGTCGTATCCGACTCTGTGTGACCCCATCCCTGGGATTCTCCAGGCAAGAACACTGGAGTGGGTTGCCATTTCCTTCTCCAGTGCATGAAAGTGAAAAGTGAAAGTGAAGTCGCTCAGTCATGTCTTACTCTTCGCGACCCCATAGACTGCAGCCCACCAGGCTCCTCTGTCCATGGGATTTTCCAGGCAAGAGTACTGGAGTGGGGTGCCATTGCCTTCTCCGACTTGGCACATAACAGATACTTAAAATAAACTGAGTGAAATGGGTGTTGAATCGTAGACATCCATGTCTGTCTCAATGTGATTTAGAGTACAAGCTCCTAGAAAATAAGGACCACACCTCCTGTCTACTTTGTTTTGCTGGCATCCAAGATGGTCCCCAATGATCCCCACCTACCTGACATGCATGCCCTGTGTTGCCCCTCCCACACAGAAGAGGATATCAAAGACATGACAGAATGTGACTTCTAAGGCTAGTTCATAAAAGACACGGTGGCTTCTACTTTCTTCTTAAAAATCACTTGGTCTGGCAAAGCCAGCTGCTGTGTCAAAAGGGCACTCAAAACAGTAGTGTGAGGAGGGCAAGGCAGTGACACTTCCAGCACAAACTCACCAGCCATGTGAGTGAGCCATCCTACAGTTAGATTTTTCCAGCCCTACTCAAGTCTTCAGATGACTATAGCCCAGTCAACAAAATGACTGCAACCTCATAAGAGACCCAAGCCCGACTACCTAGCTAATACACTGTTTCCCAATTCCTGATTCATAGAAACCATGGGAGATGGTGCTTCTGTTGCTGTTGTTTTAAGTCATTAAGTTTAGGGGCCACTTTTCATGCCACAATAGATAACCAGTACGGCCCTGAATAGTTGGTTGCTAATTTATTTGATTAAAATACACCCAAATTTTGCACTTCCCTGGTGGCACAGTGGATAAGAATCTGCCTGCCGATGCAGGGGACACAGGTTCGATCCCTGGTTTGGGAAGATTCCATATGCCGTGGGAGCAACTAAGCCCATGAGCCACAACTACTGAGTCTGTGTGCTGCAACTACTGAAGCCCATGCACCTGGAGCCTGTGCTCCGCAACAAGAGAAGCCGCAGTGGTGAAAAGCCTGTGTATTGCAAAAAAGAGCAGCCCTGCTTGATGCAACTACAGAAAACCCGTACAAAGCTAATAAACAAACAAAAAGATGCATCCAGATTCTCCCCAAGAGTTATTAGATTATTAAAAGACTAGAGCAAATTCTCTTCCTTTAAGAAGAATATTTAAATGACAGTTAAGCCATTTGATATGTATCTGCCTTTCAAGTTCATTCTAGAACTTCAAGTGCCTTGTTCCTATTATTTTCAAAGTGCCTAAAAAAAAACGGATAGTTGTGGAATATGTAAGAACAAAGATTTGTTATATAGTTATGTGTAGCTGGTATAAATTTCTAGATGATGAATGTACCTTCAAATATTTATTCTTTAAAATACAATAAATCAAGCCATGAGTATTCATCATTAGGGTCTTATTTACTAGTATTTCAAATATGTCTTTGAGCAATAAGCCTTGTTTTTGGTGGACAAACACATTTATTTTGACCGTGTCCCAAATTCCCTAGTGCAACAGAAAGAGGTTGGTGTGGTGAGCAATGGGCTTTTAAACCATCAAGTGGTTATTTGTCCATCTCCGCAAACATGTGCCTGCTACAGGTGCAAGAAACACCCATAAAGTCTCTAGCGTTGGATGACTAGCAACTGGAGAAGGCTAACTGGGTGTTGATTAACAACTGTGGTCTTAGAGTCCCTCCCTCACATATAAAGCCAGCTTCTTCCAGTAGTAAGCATCTTGGGGAAGGCTACTGGATCTCCCCAAAGCTCAGGAGATCCTGTGGGGATCTAGAACTGCTACCATCATATCTTCTGCTCTTACAAAAAAGTTTTAGTGGTGGGAAGAGGAGTGACTGCTGAATTCCTTGGGATTGAAATCATGTCAAATTGCTTGACAAACTCCTCACAATCGTTTCCAATGCAAAGCAGATAAACATTTCTCATATGTCTCCAGTGCCCCCAGCTGTATGAGAATTCAACTCTATCTTTGGTCCTTTTTATGGAAAGCTCTCAATTCTCACATACTCAACCTATCACACATAGTTATTATCATAAGTACAGAGAACATCATACCTATCACACACAGTTATTATCATGAAGTACAGAGAACATCCTGGCAACAATGTGCCCTAAAGCCAATAATGAATCGTCTATTTTCAGAGAAACAAGTGAACTAACCTATGTTTTCTTCCCCTTCCTTCTTCTCGGTCAGAAGAGTCCTTGTCATGCTGAGCTTCTTCATTGTGTGGCCTTTATATTTTAGCACTGTTTTATTACTGCCTTCTGCATCCACTAAAAGATAAAATGAACACTATTATACTGCTTGATGCCATCAAATAATCATGGTAAGCCTCAATGCTTCCAGTTTAGAGAAAACGACTTTCTGTCAAGATAGTGCAGTTAAGTTCAAGATTTAACTCATTCCTCCTGCTCCAGCCACAGGGAAGTAACAGATTAAATACGTAAGAGCTGAAGATACAAGTGAACTCAAAGACAACACACATCTACAGGGGACAGAAACCCAAAGTTAAGAGTAAAGCTACAGGCCTATTAGGTGCCAGCCCTGAAGTGGGAAAGGGGGGCTGGGAATTTGGTTTTACTGGGTAATGAGGTCTAAAATTCTGTCGCTCAAAATGAAGGACCAAAGTCAGACACTACTTGAAGCCAGACTGGAGTGAGAACATCCCCAATCAGGAGAGAAAGCTGAGAAAAAAAAAAATTGCTGTCCACCTGCTGCTTGGGGTCACAGCTTTATAAAAACTGTGTGTGTAGGCAGGAATGACGGATGAGACTCTGCGCTAAGGATGTGAAGCACATTGAAAGCTTGCAGAGCCTGCCACTGTGTGGCTGGCTGATACTACACTTCAGAGAGCAACACAGTGCTATCTGTTAAGTTGAACCATGTGAAACTGGCAATAGTCAGCCCAAATTGTTGATTTCATATGGTTGAATCTAGTACACACACTCATCAATCTAACAGTTCCGTTTCTAAGTGTATAGCCCAGAGACATTTTTGCACATATGCACAAGACATTTTTGTGGTGAGTAAGCATAATTAAGAAAACAGGCTCTGGAGCAGACCATCTTGGTTCCAATCCTAGCTCTGCTTCTATCCTGGCTCTGCTTCTAGGTCTATAACCTTGAGAATGTTTTTATCTCTCTGTGCTTCAGTTTCTTCAAATATAAAATGAAGATAACAATGCCATCTACCTCTCAGACTTGTGGTGAGGATTCAGTACATTGATACATGGAACACTTAGAACAGTGCCTGACATACATAAAGCACTCAATAAATTTTAGTAGTTGTTAATAAAAATGGAAGCAACCAACGTGTCCATTAATTAGAGAAAAAACTGCGGTACAGTCACAATAGCAACAGGGAAATCAGTTTTATATATATATATATATATATATATATATATATATATATGCATGTAAAAAATCTCCAAACATATCTCTAATCAAAAAAAAGATATAGAATGATATATTTATCATATGCTACAATTTATATTGTGTGAAAGTATCCAGAAAGTGCTATTTATTGTCTGCTGATACATACATATGTAATATAAAATCAGGTGTAAGAAAGATAAACATCAAATTCAACAGAGTGATCACCTCTGAAGACAAGTGATTACCTCTGAAGACAGAAGGGAGTAATTCTGGAGAGGGATATAGAAGGGGCTTCAAATGCATCTGGAACGTTTTTTAACTACCTAGCCAAAAGGGAGGATTTGACACAGGTAGGCAGTGGGTACAAGAGATGTTTAACTTTAATATCCATCATACACAAGTATGTTTGAAATATTTCATAACAAAAAGAGTTGAGTCAGCATAGCAATCACTTACCATATTCAACATTTTCTTCAAATATAACACAGGTCCCAACAGTGTCTGCAGAAAAACATTAAGGCAAATTGTTGAAATAGTTACTTTCTCCAAAAGGCATATAGAAAAGGGAATTTCATCTCTCTGACATCCTCCTACCTTCATACTCTCCAGCAAAGACATAGTTGTCCACTTGCAGGATGGGCCTTTCAGTATCAATTCCCTACAACAGAATATAGGACCATTAAAAAATCATTAGTAAAAACAGCCTTGGGAGTGGGAGAAATGGGTGAAGAGGGGCTCAAATGATACCAACTTCCAGTCATAAAAAAAATATCTTGGGATGTTTAAGAACAACATGGTGACTATAGTTAGTACTGTACTTTATAAATGAAAGTTGCTAAGACAGTAAATCTTCAAAGTTATTACCAGAAGAAAAAAAATTTTGTAATTATATCTGTAGTAATGGGGGTTAACTAGCCATTGTGGTGATCATTTCACAATACAGACAAATACTGAAAACACTGTATAGCTGAAACTAGTATAATTAAAAAAAAATTGTTCAATCCTTCAGTCATGTCTGACTCTTTGCAATCCCATAGACTGCAGCATGCCAGGCTTCCCTATCTTTTAGCATCTCCCTGAGTTTATTTACACTTATGTCCATTGAGTCAGTGATGCCATCCAACCATCTTGTCCTCTGTCGTCCCCTTCTCCTCCTGCCTTCAATCTTTCCCAGCATGAGTGTCTTTCCCAATAAGTCAGCTCTTCACTTCAGGTGGCCAAAGTATTGGAGCTTCAGCATCAGTCCTTCCAGTGAATATTCAGGGTTGATTTCCTTTAGGTTCAACTGGTTTGATCTCATTGCTGTCCAAGAGACTTTCAAGAATCTTCTCCAGCACCACAGTTTGAAGGCTCAATTCTTCGGTGCTCAGCCTTTTTTATTGTCCATCTCTCACATCCATACATGACTACTGGAAAAACCATAGCTTTGACTAGATGGACCTTGGTAGGCAAAGTAATGTCTCTGCTTTTTAATATGCTGTCTAGGTTGATCATAGCTTTTCTTCCAAGGAGCAAGCGTCTTTTAATTTCATGGCTGCAGTCACCAGCTGCAGTGATTTTGGAGCCCAAGAAAATAAAGTCTGTCACTGTTTTCATTGTTTTCCCATCTATTTGCCATGAAGTGATGGGACCAGATGCCATGATCTTAGTTTTTTGAATGTTGAGATTTAAGCCAGCCTTTTCACTCTCCTCTTTCCCTTTCATCAAGAGGCTTTTTAGGGGAAAAAAAAAAAAGAGGCTTTTTAGTTCTTCGCTTTCTGCCATAAGGGTGGTGTCATCTCCCTATCTGAGGGCACTGATATTTCTCGCAGCAATCTTGATTCCAGCTTCTGCTTTATCCAGCCCAGCATTTCGCATGATATACTCTGCATGTAAGTTAAATAAGCAAGGTGACAATATACAACCTTGACATACTCCTTTCCCAATTTGGAACCAGTCTGTTGTTCCATGTCCGGTTCTAACTGTTGCTTCTTGACCTGCATACAGGTTTCTAAGGAGGCAGGTAAGGTGGTCTGGTATTCCCATCTCTTGAAGAATGTTACATAGCTTGTTGTGATACACACAGTCAAAGGCTTTAGCATAGTCAATGAAGCAGAAGTAGATGCTTTTCTGGAATTCTCTCGCTTTTCTGATGATCCAACAGATGTTGGCAATTTGATCTCTGATTCCTCTTCCTTTTCTAGATCCAGCTTGTACATCTGGAAGTTTGTGGTTCACGTACTGTTGAAGCCTAGCTTGAAGGATTTTGAGCATTACTTTGTTAGCATATGAAATGAATGCAACTGTGCGGTAGTTTGCACATTCTTTGGCACTGCCTTTCTTTGGGATTAAAATGATAGCTGACCTTTTCCAGGTCAGTTTTATAAAAAATATATATTATTATAAAAATAATAATTTATTTTTGGCTGTGCTGGGTCTTCGGTGCTGAGGGCTTTTCTCTATGCCAGTGAGCTGGGGCTACTCTCTAATCACAGTGCTCTGGCCTCTCGCAGCAGCGGCTTCTCTCGTTGCACAGGGTGGGCCCTATGGCACTCGCGCGTCAGTAGCTGTGGCTGGAGGGTTCTAGAGCACTGGGCTCAGTAGTTGTGGCGCAGGGGGCTTGGTTGCTCTGGGGCATGTAGGATCTTCCTGGATCAAGGATCCAGGCTTCCTGCATTGGCAGGTGGATTCTTTACCACTGAGCCACCAGGGAAGTCTAGTATAATATTATATGTCAATTATTTCTCAGTTTAAAAAAGAAAAGAGGGACTTCCCTGGTGGTCCAGTGGTTAAAACTCCATTGCAGGGGGCACAGGTTAGATCCCTGGTCAGGAAACGAAGATCCCACCTGCCTGGAGTGGGCACAGTGGTTGCAGCCCAGAGGCTCTTTAGTTGTGTCCTGTGAGCATCAGTGGTTGTGGCAGTGAGACTTAGCTGCCCCAGGGCATGTGGGATCTTGGTCCCCTCACCGAGAATTGCACCCCTGTCCTCTGCATTGCAAGGCAGATTCTTAACCAGGGAGGTCCAAAAACAGTGTATTGTTTTTCAGAATTTAATCTTCCATTTCAAAATGCCACCCTCCTCCCCGCCAAATCTTTAACTCTCTCCAGCCACACATGCAGACAGTCAGGCATAGTTGTTGATGCTGTCAACTACAAATTGGCACTTGCCAAGAGCACTGCCAATGACTGAACTACAAGGGCATCTGTCACCTGCACTACTGCAGCTGTTGACCTTCAACATCCCCTAGGAGAGTTCAGGGTGAAGTGAGGCACTGTGTGTTCCAGGGAATCTGGTGGGACTGATCTTTAGACAGATATTTTAAGGAACTGATTTTATGATCCAAATCCTTGCATCTCCTCATACCTAGAAAAGCACTAAATCCCTTCATGGTGACATCAGATCCCTGTGACTAGCAGAAAACCTTTTGTAACATGAGTGCTTAATGGGACTGAACTCCCCCTTCACCAAAATCTTATATATTGACCTTTCCCACTGTCTCTTTGGAGCAGTCTCTCAGAATTATCAGAGGTGCTGCCTCCCTGGCTGCAGTTCTCATTTTGCCCCAAATAAAGCTTCACTGGCAGCTCTCAAGTTGTGCATCTTTTTTTGGTCAACAATGCTGTAGAAGTTGGGCATTAGTTTTCTCCCAGCTGCTCCCTGTTCTGTGACTGTCTCCAACAGTTCACTGCTTTGTATACCCGGAATTAATCTATTTTAAAGGGATGCTTTTGAACTGTGGTGTTGGAGAAGACTCTGGAGAGTCCCTCAGACAGCAAGAAGACCCAACCAGTCCATCCTAAAGGAACTCAGTCCTGAATATTCATTGGAAGGACTGGTGCTGAAGCTGAAAGTCCAATACTCTGGCCACCTGAGGCGAAGAACTGACTCATCTGAAAAGACCCTGATGCTGGGAAAGATTGAAGGCAGGAGAAGAGGATGACAGAGGATGAGATGGCTGGATGCCATCACCGACTCAATGGACATGAGTTTGAGTAAGGTTCGGGAGCTGGTGATGGACAAGGAAGCCTGGCGTGCTGCAGTCCATAGGGTCACAAAAAGACAGACTGAGCCACTTAACTGAACTGACTGAACTAAAGGGGATGGGTATATGTCACCATTCATTCTTGTTTTAGATTTAAGAAAACCTACAACAACCCACCAATTCTACAAGACTCACCAAAATCTTGCATTTATTCTCACATTTTGAGAGCAAGTCTGAATCAAGAATTCCTGATAATTCCACCATAACCAACTGCTCCTGGTGGAAGAAAGAAGGGTTAACGCGTTAGCCTGTGAGAGCGCAGGAAGAGGCAGGCAGTTATGGAGAAAAGCCAAACACACACCCCCAGTGAAACGACTCCTCTTTTGTGAAAACTAGGTCCTGCTTTCAAGGAGAGGAAGCGCGCTCCGTTAACAAGGTAACCTCCCTCCTTCCCCCTCGAACTTCGGTGTGGCCCGTAGGGCTGTGGGCAGCTGCCTGCCGCCCCGCGCGCTCAGGGGCACAATCCTGCCAGGCGCCCGCGGGCCGCGCCCCGACTCCCTGCCCCGCACACAGCCACTTCCACCCCCGCTACCACCGCGCGGGCTTCCTCCGTGGCACTCACTGTTTCCTCCTCCTCCTCTTCCTCCTCTTCGTCCCAGTCCACCCAACTCGGCTCCTTGGCCGCTGCCGCCATGCCGCCGCTCCTCTGCGCCGCCTGCGAGCCGCGGGCCCCGCCCGCCGGGGCCGCCATCTTAAGTAAGGGCAGCCGCTCCGGCCGCGCCCGCCGCTCCTGCCAGCACGCGAGATGGCGGCTCCCGGGCGCACGCGGAGCTCCTTGTTCCTCTCCGAGAGCTGGAGCCAGGACCCTGGCCTTGGCCGGGCGGCTTCGGCGACCTAGGGAACCCTCGGACTCCCTTCGCTGGTGGAACGAGCCCACTGGCGAGCGAGGCAGAGGAGATCAAGAAGGTGCAGGCAGAGAGGCCACCGTGCGCGAGGGAAATGGAGAGGCCTAGAGTATCTCCATCCTACATTGCTTTGAAAGAAATTCTTAATGTTGTGTAAACACTCATCCTCAATTCAAGTTCTCCCCGAGCCAAGCTAAGGGCACACTTCACTGCGCTAGGAAGTGAGCTTGGGTTTCAGGACCCTGCAAAAGCTGCAGGCCTCGCAGATGGCGCTAGTGGTCAAGATCCCGCCTGCCAGTGCAGGAGACGGGGGTCGATCCCTGGGTTGGGAAGATCCTCTGGAGGTGAGCATGGCAACCCATTCGTGGTGAGGAGCCTGGCGGGCTGCAGTCCGTAGGGTCCCATAGAGAGGGACACGATTGAAGCGACTTAGCACGCAAAAAAGATGCAGGGATGGCAGATGGAGATCAGATTGCCCTAAGCGCTGTAAGAGACAGAAATTGGGGAGTACTAGAGACTAAGTAGGAAATGGCAGCCCACTCCAGTGTTCTTGCCTGGAGAATCCCAGGGACGGCAGAGCCTGGTGGGCTGCCCTCTGTGGGGTCGCACAGAGTCGGACATGACCAAAGCGATTTAGCAGCAGCAGCAGCAGCAGCAGCAGCAGCAGAGACTAAGTGAAGTTTTGAACAGGATTTTTCTAAAAGTAACAACGGATTTTCCTGATTATAAAATAAATTATCTTTGTAGAGAAACAGGATGATCTACTTCCACAGAGCATGAGATTTGGGGTCTGATACTTGTCTGATTTGCTGCATTATTAACTGCAAGGCTTTAGGCAAGTTGGTTTTTGTGAGGATTAAAAGAGATTATACATGTAAAACAGATTGTCTGGCACATATTAAGCACTTAATATGCATTTAGCCTAGTAATAGTAATACTTTGTAAAAATTTAGAGTATTATAACTTTTAAAAAACATTTTCGGGGAATTTTCTGGTGGTTCAGTGGTTAGGACTATGCTTTGTCTGCGGTGGCCTTGGTGGGGGAAATATGATCCCACAGGCCATGCTGTGTGGCTGAAGAAAATGAAAACCAAAAACATTTTCCTACACAGTTTAGCTTTCCAGCTTCTTTCTACATACACAAACACAATTTTTATTACAAAAATGTGTTCCAACTATACATCTGTTTTAAACTTGCTTTTCTCACTATATGTAGTATCATGGATGTTTTCCACGATAAATATAAATCTATGTGATTGTATTTATTGATACTGCACAACCCTTTAGTAAACATTTTTGTGCATTTTTACCCATTCCTTCATTAAATGAATGGGATTTCATCACTTTAAAAAAAGTGGGAAAAGTACTGGACCTCTTAGAAGTTGTAGAACTTAGAAGTTCTAGATCTGAAATATAGTAATTGTAATCTGGCACAAGCTGCTGTGCTTTCTTATCCCCTGTGTTCTTATTTTTAAATGAAGATAAAATTATTCATCCTTACTGTATATTTTTTGTTTGAAGATTAGATCATGTCTCTAACAGTGCTTTATAAGTTGAGAAATTAAATTGTCAGATATTATTGGGGTTCAGGGAGAATAAAAAGAAAAACAATCCAAGCTGAGGAAGCAGCAGAAGTGAAGGCTTGAGGGCTGAAAATACATTTTATGAGGTCAGTGTAATGCCTTAGGATGTCCCTTTCAAATAAACAAGGCTCATACTTCTAGTCAAGGTTATTATTGTTTACTATTTAAGACATAATTGTTAATTTTATTTATTTTGAATGGTTTCTGAAATGATACAGACAGAGAAGTAAGCCTTCTATGCCTGTCCGCCAGCTCCCCTTTCCATTACGGTGGTTGATCAGTCATGTCCAACTCTTTGTGGCCCCGTGGACTGCAGCACGCCAAGCTTCCCTGTCCTTCACTATCTCCCAGAGTTTGCTCAAATTCATGTCTGTTGGGTTCGTGACGCCATCCAACCATTTCATCCTCTGTCGCCCTCTTTTCCTGCCCTCAATCTTTCCCAGCATAAAGGTCTTTTCCAAGGAATCGGTTTTTCGCATCAGGTGGCCAAAGTATTGGAGCTTCAATTTCAGCATCAATCCTTCCAATGATTGATTGGATTGATCAGGGTTGATTTCCTTTAGGAGGGCTTCCCTGCTGGCTGAGATGGTAAAAATTCATCTGCAATGCAGGAGACCCAGATTCAGGAAGACCTCCTGGACAAGGGAAGGGCTACCCACTCCAGTATTTTTGCCTGGAGAATTCCATGGTCAGAGGAGACAGGTGGGCTACAGTCCATGGGGTCCCAAAGAATTGGAAACAACTGAGTGAATTTCACTTTTCCTTTAGGACTGACTGATTTGATCTTCTTGCAGTCCAAGGAATTCTCGAGTCTTCTCCAGCACCACAGTTTGAAAGCATCAATTCTTTGGCGCTCAGCCTTTTTTATGGTCCAAATCGCACACCTGTACGTGACTATTGAAAAAACCATAACTTTCACTGTGGACCTTTGTTGGCAAAGTGATGCCTCTGCTTTTGAATATGAATATGCTGTCTAGATTTGTGATAGCTTCCCTTCCAAGGAGTATGAGTCTTTTATTTTCATGGCTGCAGTCACTGTCTGCAGTGATTTTGGAGCCCAAGAAAAGAAAATATGTCACTGTTTCCACTTTTTCCCTTTCTATTTGTCATGAAGTGATGGGACCAGATGCCATGATCTTGGTTTTTTGTTTTTGTTTTTTTAATATTTATTTATTTAGGCTGGGCTGTCTTAGTTGCAACATGTGGGGGATCTTTGGTCTTCATTGTAGCATGCAGGATATTTACTTGTGGCATTCAGTTCAGTTCAGTCACTCACTTGTGTCTGACTCTTTGCAACCCCATGGACTGCAGCATGCCAGGCTTCCCTGTCCATCACCAGCTCCGAGACCATGTTCAAACTCATGTCCATTGAGTCAGTAATGGTATCCAACCATCTTATCCTCTGTTGTCCCCTTCTCCTCTTGCCTTCACTCTTTTCCAGCATCAGGGTCTTTTCAAATGAGTCAGATCTTCCTATCAGATGGCCAAAGAAGTGGAGCTTCAGCTTTAGCATCAGTCCTTTCAATGAATCCTCAGGGTTGATTTCTTTTAGGATTGACTGTTTTGATCTCCTTGCAGTCCAAGGGTTTTTCTCAAGAGTCTTTTCCAACACCACAGTTCAAAAACATCAGTTCTTCGGTGCTCGGCTTTCTTCATGGTCCAGCTCTCACATCCATACATAACTACCGGGAAAGCCATAGCTTTGACTATACGGACCTTTGTTGGCAAAGTAACGTCTCTGCTTTTTAATATGCTGTCTAGGTTTGTCATAGCTTTTCTTGCAAGGAGCATGCAGACTCTTAGTTGTGGCATGTGGGATTTAGTTCCCTGACCAGGGATCATACCCAGGCCCCCTGCATTGGGAGCTCAGAGTCTTATGCACTGGAACACCAGGGTAGTCCTCATCGTAGTTTTTTAATCTTGAGTTTATGCTAGCTTTTTCACTCTCCTCTTTCACTCTCATCAAGAGGCTCTTTAGTTCCTCTTCAGTTTCTGCCACTAGAGTGGTATTATCTTCATATCTGAGTTTGTTGATATTTCTCCCAGCAATCTTGATTCCAGCTTGTGATTCATTCAGCCGGACATTTTGCATGATATACTCTGCACATAAGTTAAATAAGCAAGGTGACAATATACAACCTTGTCATACTCCTTTCCCAATTTTGAACCAATCGGTATTTCCATGTCTGGTTCTAATTGTTGCTTCTTGACCTGCATGGAAGTTTCTCAGGAGACAGATAAAGTGATCTGGTATTCCCATTTCTTTAAGAATTTTCCACAGTTTTTGTGATCCACACAGTCAGTGAAGCAGAAGTAGAATTTTTTTAGATTTCCCTTGCTTTCTCTATGATCCACAGATGTTGGCAATTTGATCTCTGGTTCCTCTCCCTTTTCTAAACCCAAGTTGTACATCTGAAAGTTCTTGGTTCATGTACTGCTGAAGCCTAGCTTGAAGAACTTTGAGCAAAACCCTTGGTAGCATGTGAAATGAGCGCAGTTGTATGGCAGATAGAACATTCTTTGGCATTGTCCTTCTTTGGGATTGAAATGAAAACTGACATTTTCCAGTCCTGTGGCCACTGCTGAGTTTTCCAAATTTGCTGACACATTGAGTGCAGCACTTTAACAGCATCATCTTTTAGGATTTTAAACAGCTCAGCTGGAATTTCATCACCTCCATTAGCTTTGTCTGTAGTAATGCTTCCTAAGGCCCACTTGATTTCACACTCCAGGATGTCTGACTATGTGAGTGACCACACCATCATGGTTATCCAGGTCATTAAGACTTTTTGTATAGTTCTTCTGGCTTCTGTATATTCTTGCCATCTCTTAGTCTCTGCTTCTGTCCTTTAGGTCTGCTTAGGTCCTTCTGTCCTTTATTGTGCCCATCCTTTCAAGAAATAGTCCCTTGATAGCTCCAGTTTTCTTGAAGAGATTTCTAGTCTTTCCCATTCTATTGTTTTCCTCCATTTTCTTTGCATTGTTCACATAAGAAGGCTTTCTTATTTCTCCTTGCTGTTCTCTGGAACTCTGCATTCATTTGGGTATATCTTTCCCTTTCTCCCTTGCCTTTCACTTCTCTTCTGTTCTCAGACAACCACTTTGCCTTCTTGCATTTCTTTTTCTTTGGGATGGTTTTGGTTCCTACCTCCTGTACAATGTTACGAACCTCTGTCCATAGTTCTTCAGGTACTCTGTCTACCAGA